TTAAAGCAAGAAGAACTTTGATAGAGTTAAGTTTGACTACAAGAGAATTTTTCTCCATTTAATCAATATCTTCAACTTGGGTAAAACCTCTTATAACTAGCCTTCTTTGTATTTGTTAATACTTCCGTCAACTTTAGTTTTTTATTTTAAAAATCCACTTTGAACTGATTGGTTTTTGATTAGGAGGTAAATTTGTCATGTTCCATGTATTGTTCTTGTTTAAAGATGTCATTTCAGCATTGATTGCTTTTGCCATTCTTAAACATCAACCCGCTGTCGTAATGTAATATGACTAGTAGGTGAAAGGGTGAAGAAATATATCATGTTTTGAGGATCTCACTTCAAAAATATTGTAGCAAATTATCTTGGAAAAATAGATATTAGTAAAAGGGTAGAAAAATTAAAGGTACTAATGCTGCCTTTTTACAAATTATGCTTCTATTTACTTTGTAAGGCCATAAATAAAGCAAAATAAGGTAGATTAGAAAAATAAAGGATATAGACATATGTAGGGAGGAGTTAGGAGTGCAAATTAGTAAAAATTACCTCAAGAAGACGAAAGTTGATACCCCGAGAGGGCCGGTTAAGAACCAGGATTGAAATCAGACCCTGAGGCACAAAACTGAGTCTCGACGACGATTCCGGGACTCTTTGGCAGATCCAAGAGTGGGGTTTGATAGAAGATTGGATAGGGTTTCTATGGGCGTTGATTTTGGGTGATTTGGAATTGATATGACTTTGTAAGAGCTTTGCAAAGTGGAGGTTTGTTTCAGATGACTTGGGTTTTATGAAATAAAATAGGGTTTATGTTTTGAGTGATTTCGAGAGTTTTGTTGCAGATCTACGGGTGAAATTTTTTGGGTTTATGATTATAGTTGTGTTAAATACATGTTGTGAATTTAAGCTCGATCTAACGGTTATAGTGAGAGATATTGAGGTTTAAGCAGATCAAGGTCTCAAAAAGTAGAATTTTAGATCCAGTGAGGGTTTTTAAGATTTCATGCAATCTACTAGTTGGATTGGAGTAAAACTTGTGTGAGAGGGTATAAGACTTGTTTTTCTATGTCCATGAGAAATTTAGAACCAATCGAATGGCGCAAAGAAGAGAAATTGGCTCTGGAAGGTTGGCATCAAGATTGGAGAAGGAGGCTGGCTAACAACCCAACACATTTTTGAGGTTTTCGTCAATTTAGTAACTCCAATCCTTTTCAAATTTTTTTGTGCTTGTTTTAAACTTGATTTTTAAGAAGTATGCAAATTTTGAATTGAGATCAACGGTTTATTCATTAGATATTGAGGTTTAAATCTGTCATAGGAATTACTAGGAATTGGATTAGGATTTGGCTAGGATTTGATTTAGAGTTTAGGATTTGAATTAGGGTTTGGTTAGGGTTTGATTTAGGGTTTGGATTAGGATTTGGATTAGAGTTTGGTTAGGGTTTGATTTAGGATTTGGATTAGGGTTTGAATTAGGATTTAGAGTTTGGTTAGGGTTTGATTTAGGGTTTGGATTAGGATTTGGATTAGGGTTTAGAGTTTGGTTAGGGTTTGATTTAGGGTTTGGATTAGGGTTTGGTTAGGGTTTGATTTAGGATTTGGATTAGGGTTTGGATTAGGGTCTAGGATTTGGTTAGGGTTTGATTTAGGATTTGAATTAGGATTTAGGATTTGGTTAGGGTTTGGATTAGGGTTTGGATTAGGATTTGGATTAGGGTTTGGTTAGGGTTTGATTTAAGGTTTGGTTTAGGGATTAGGGTTTAGATTAGGATTTAGGATTTGGTTAGGATTTGGATTAGGATTTGGATTAGGGTTTGATTTAAGGTTTGGTTTAGGGATTAGGGTTTGGGTTAGGATTTAGGATTTGATTAGGGTTTGATTTAGGGTTTGGATTACTATTTGGGTTAGGATTTGGTTAGGGTTTGATTTAAGGTTTAGGATTTGGATTAGGGTTTAGGGTTGATTTAGGATTTGGTTTAGGATTTAGGGTTTGAAATAGGGTTTGATTTAGGGTTTAATTTAAAGTTTTTTTAGGATTTGACTTAGGGTTTAGGATTTATTAGGGTTTAAGATTTAATTAGGTTTGGTCTAAAGTTTGAGTGAAATTCAATAGGGTTTTAACTAGAATTAAATTAAGGTTGAATTGACATATATTTGAGTAATATTTGTTATCATTCTAATATTTCTTTAAGAATTTTATTGTTTGTTTGAAATTTCTTTGAGTTATTTTGAATTTGATTACGTTTGTTTACCATTATTATAGTCTAAATAGAGCATTGTTAGTATTCTATTAGAATTAGGATTTTGATATCGCAATTTCTATTCTTCCTTCTACAGCCAGGTGCCTGGAGCATTCTCAAGCAAGACTTCACACATTATGACACTGCTCCATTACTTCTTGAATGGAGGTTGGAGCTTCTGTATAAGTAGAAACAAGGTAGACTTGATGATGCTAATTACATTATCGTTTATACTATTTTTTGCCTTGTATAGATTTTTAACAATCTTATGGTTGGTTGAATAATTCTTTTTGGTCGAGAATGAGAAAGAAGTTTTGAAGTTTGCAATATAGAATGGACTTCATCATCTTCAAGAGGTAAGATCTCTTGATCATTTAGTAATGATAGTTGAGAGAAGTCTTCTATGACATCAATGTGAGAAGTTTTTTTTTTCTTTCAGAAACACCATTTTGTTGTGGTGTATAAGCTGTAGTTTATTCTTATTTAATACCTTCTTTCTTATAGAAATATTTAAAGTCATTGGATGTATATTCACCTCCCTGATCAGATCTTAAGATTTTGATTTTGAAACTTGTTTGTTTTTCTACGAAATTTTTGTATGAGGTGAATTTTTCAAATGCTTCAGATTTGTGTTTCATCAAATATACTTGGCAATATCTTGTTAGATCATTACTAAATGTGATGAAGTAAATACATCTTGAATGTGTGCCTACTTGCATAGGACTACAAATGTCAGAATGTACAAGTTCTAACAATTGGGTAGCTCTTTCTGCATCTTGTGCAAGAAACTTTTCTTTATGTTGTTTACCTTCTATGCAAGGTTGGCATAAGGTAATTTTTCTTTCATCAAAGGAATCAATCTCCTTTGCTATGGTTTATATTTGCTTGAATCTTTGAGGATTTATGTATCTTAGTCTTACGTGCGATAAATCAGCATTATTAAATTGTGTTGTTGCTAGAATAGCAATTTGAGGCTTGTTTAAAAGTAATGTTGTACCTAATCTATATAAATTAGGATTTGATTTGCATATTGCAATAGTTTGACCAAATTTATTTGTAAGTTTAGTGGTGCCAACTCTTATGCAAATTTCTCCTCCTGCCTTATCTAATTGTTTGGTAGAGAATAAATTCTTTGCAAGTCCTGGTATGTATAATACATCAGGTATGATCTTCTCATCACCATTTGTAAGTTTGATATTTACATCACCATGTCCTTCTATTATGTATGATGTAGTATCATCTCCTAAATAGACAACTTGTTTGTCTTCACTTTTTATGTATTTAACAAATTCTTCTAATTTATGATACATATGTTGAGTTGCTCCCGAGTCCACATACCACATTGAATTTGGGTTTTCTTTAACTATAAGTACTGCCACATGTAATTTATTTTTTTTGGTAACAACATTTGTTTCATTTTTGTTATTATAATTTTCAATTGCAACATATAATTTATTTGTTTTCTTGTTTTGTAATCTTTAATCAAGTGACCTGATTTATTGCAAAAAAAGCACTTCTTTTCTATAGCAAAATTACTCTTTTCATGTGGTTTATAGGTACTACTCTCTCTTTATGAACTTGTTTTGAAATTCTTATTAAAATAAGATTTCTTGTTATTATTCTGAAATTTCTTACCTACATATAAGACTGAATTATTATCACATGTTAAACTCATGTTTTTCATGAGTATTTCTTCTTGGATCAAATCTGTTATTAAGGATGCTAATGTAATACTAGGCTGTCTTCTTAAGGAGCTAATGAAGGATCTATAACTTAGAAGCAAACTTCTCATCAAAGTGAGAATTACTTCATTATCTAGAATTGATGATTCTGCTCCCAACAATTATTCCATATGTACTCTAAAAGTATGTATGTATTTAATAACACTATCACCTTCTCTCATTTTTAAGGTATATAATTTATCTTTTAAATACATCTTAGTTATTGCATCATGTGATTCAAATATTTTTACTAATTCTTATTATGTTGAATTTGCTAATGTGCAAGATTGGATATGTGAAATAATATTATTTTCTAGGCAATTGTTGATTATGGTTAAAGACAAGGCATCTTTGTCTATCCATGTGCTTATACTCCCTACTCCTATGGTAGGTAAAGCTTGGACTCTGGGTACAATTTCAGCTATTGTTGGTTCTATTAGTATGCATTTTTCACTACTTACTATGGACCATAACTTTTCAATCTTAAAAACTAGTGTTAATATATGTTTCCATATATTAAAATATAAACCATCAAATTTTGGAACATAATTGATATCCACTTTTTGTATTATCTTCAAAATTCTTAATTTGAAGTAGAATTGAAATTATTTATAAATTTATTTTTATCAATTCAATTTTATCTTTGCTTATGGTTTGTATGTTGCCATTTTCAGGTCTAGAATTGCTTCTCATGGTTTAAAGAACTTCAAGTTCTTCATCAACCTTTTCTATTATAATGAATTGTATTGATATTATTTTCATTATAAACTATTTTGTAATTTCAACAATTCATTTCTTAATAAAGAATTCATTAAAGCTTTTTCTTAGGATCAAATTTTCTATTGCTTTGATACCATGTTGGAAACAATATTATTGAGCTTGGGCTCCGGCAGCAATTGATACACAATATATTGTGTGTACAAGGGTGATACCAACAGTCACAACTCTTGGTGTAAGGTCAATACAGAGTAGATAGTATTCTATACGGAGACTAGTGTACTGTATAGTATAATTCTCCCATTAAGGAGGCTAACCAGGAGCTTTGTGTGATTTGTCGTTTGAGGTGGAGGATCTTGCTTTGTGTGTTTATGACATTTGAGGGAGGAGCTACACGTTTGGTGTTTCTTGGTGGTGACTCGAGATGAAGCCCGGTTGAAAGCTTGAATCTGTGTCTGAGTCTAAGGGTCGAAGCGCAATTGCTGGTTTCGGTGTTTGAAGTGATGGGAGAATGCGAGCTGCGGGCTGTTTGATGCGGTAACTTTGGCTATGGCGAAGCTTTAGCTTGGGGTGTCAAGATTGTGATTCTTGTTTGGAAGTGGGTTTGTCTTTGGTGGGGTTAGTATTAGCTGCGGTCATACAGAGCTTTCAATTTGGAAGGGAGAAGTGAGTCTTCAGTGTCACTCTTCAGTGTCACACAAATTGGTTCGTGCATCCGACGAAAGTTGGTTCCCACAGATATGGTGCACCATGATGGTTCCAAGGTTCTGTAAATAAGGTCCAGGTACACGCTTGTGTAGACCTTTCTTTTAACCTACTTGTGTCTAATGATAGGCTTCGATAGTGCACCTTTGAGAACTATATCAAAATACGAACGAGTACTGCGTCCATGTTAATGTAGTTGGTTGAGACAAAAGAACAGAAATCAGTAGAGAGGCTGCAGTCAAGGCGCAAGTAGTGATCTGTTCACAGTAGTCGGCGATTCTAATTGTACCGTCGGTAGGAAAAGCTGTTGGAAATCATGCTAGGAACCCCTCTCGCATTTGGATTGACCATGATTTTGTGCTTCACTCTATTTTCCTACTACTAGCGCATTCGGCAACTCCGAGCACACCTCCTGGCTGCCCAATCTGCACCATTCCAAGACGGCTTCCCCGTACGTGATTCGACTCGACTTTTAAGTTTTACATTTTCGATGGATGCTGTTGGTTGGTGTGAATTTTCTTGTTTGTCAGAACCCAAATATGAATCCGTCAGTTTCCGTGCCGACAGGTTAAAATTGGAATTGGGAAGCAAGTTGTAGAGACGTTTCCAACCGTCAAAGCATGTGAGCTGAAGTGCACTGCTAGAGCAGACATGCAGTAAGTGCCGTTCTCGCCCCATCGGCTGCACTTGTTCGGAAGTCCGTGCATAACCCCTGTAGTTACTAATGCATGAAACGTTCAAGGGTGTAAGTTTAATACGAGGTTAACCTAGACATTGAATATATTTTTGACATTGAACATCTAGTTGCGTATGTATCTCTCGCTTTCGTTTCAGCGCTGTCCTTCTTGGGGTGGAACTGTGATCTGGCGAGGCAGCTAGAAAGCCTGTACTGCTCTGTTTGTACTGGAGGTCTTGTAATCGATACTGTGAGCGGTTATAGTGGCTCATGAGGTATGAGTCATGACTATGTTGATGACGAGAGGAGCTTGACGCTGCTAGTACAGTGACTGTTGAGTAAACGGCTGCCCATTTTGCCAGGAGTGCTAATTCAAAGGAAGCAACTTTAGATGTAATGGTTGAGGGCAACCGAGTCAATGATCCACGTTCTAAAATTGATTTATCCCGTAGATAGAAAGCAATTCATAAATTACTAAAAATAGCGTGATTATTTCAGAGAAGAAAGGCTTTTGCGAGCGTGATGTCGATGACGTGAGTTCTATTTAACCTTGAATTCAATGCAACCAGGTGCCCGATATGCCTCGTGGAATACGAAGAGTGGGAAGTTCTCCGGCAGTTACCCTTTTGCGGCCACATCTTTCACCCTCTCTGCGTGGGTGCTTGGTTTGAGAAGCAAACAACTGTCCAGTCTGCCGCACGAGCATGTCACAGTTTGCGAAACCATTCGGCCATCCTCTAGCTGCAGAGAACACACACCATTGTAGAGTAGGGCGTCTCTCTTCGGATGATACGGTGGAGGCGGCCAGTGGCGACACTCCGTCCTGGATAATGGTCAACTACCGTCTCTCGTTGCATGACCAGTGTTGCCTGCAGCGGAAACCACTAAAAGTACTCACATTTGCATTTACTCATGTGGGATTCCGAATGAAAATGGAGGAACTCAGCCTAAGACTGATCGACTTATCAGGGAGTCGTAAGTACGTGCAGTTAGATGTTAGAGAGAAGAAATGAGCTGCGCACATTTTCATGCAGTGAACATACCACAAGAGCGGCGAGAATGCATGTGTTTCAAATGCAATCACAAGACGAAGCCGGTCAAAACTGCCACTTCTGATTATTTGTACTCAAGGGGCGCATTTGAATCTCTGCATGAACAGGGAGATATTCAAATTCTGGTTATTCAACGAAGCATTTTGACAAGAACAGGGGAAAGCAATGTAAATGAGCATGGTTTAGCTGTAGGAGAGATAACCAATCCTCTGGAAACAAGTACAGTATAAGATGGTAGGAACACAATATGTTACTGTGGTGGAGCTGACTCTGTAAGTGGACCTCATTCTAAAGCCGATTCTAGTCTAAATTATAGAGAAAGCAATATGCCAAAAGACGTACACATCCTGTCAGGCACTCTCGAAGGGTTCATCGAATTTCATACCGTTCTAATGCAAAACGGTGAATTAACAATCAGAACAACGACCTCGTGACGTAAGAATCACAATGTGTGCTCCCGCTAAAAATATGCCAAACGGACGTGTGCGATCACTACATACTAAGCACCTTTGAAAGTTTCGCAATAGCTTGCAATTCTGATGTCATACAATGAAAACGACAATTTCCAGCTCACAACTAACTTGTTGACCATGGCTTGCGATGAAAATACCACAAGGTCTGCACGAAAATTAAACTAATGACCAACTTTTCCTTGCTTAATTTCAGGAAATTTAATTTCTTTAAATAGAAATATTGTGTATAAACAAAGAATCTGTCTATCAAACGTATGTGTTTTCATCCCACATGAAATTACTCATGACCTACATCACAGATCTGTACCAGCTTATGATGTAAATGCGAAAACCGGAAGATGGGATACGTTCGGTGCGAGTATCAGTCGGTGATGATCTCTATGATGGCAACCAGATCTGGAAACTATTATATTTGATAATAAAACAAATATGGGACGTCCAAATTTCTAAAGTAAGATGCATTTATTCATCGCGGTCGCACTGATACTCCTGCCTGGGAAGATGAGGAAGTCTCATCCTTTGTCAGTGTTGTCGTCTCTGTATCTGCGAAGCCGCAGTTGACAATTATAACCACCCTCTAAGACATTGGTCTGATCAAGCTTAGTTTCATTCTTTTTAACTACAAACCGTGAGAGAGAGAGGACAAGGTACAGTTTACACGCGTGCCTCGGGGAAGAGTCACGAGGTCTTTCGCGAGTGCATTACTGCCACCAGTTCATGCAGCTCCTTATTCGTCTTAATCACCAAAACCCTCTGCACATCTTAGTGCAGACTACAGTACCTTTTCTGACTTACACAGTTCCTTACGACCTAGCTCATTCTCTAGACAACTCCTACTGACCCCTGAAACCTCATCGTGTATGCTTACAGTGACAATTTCCAAGTTGAGCGAGGACCAATGTAGTAACTGATCTTCGATTGATCCACTTGATTGTCTGCTTTAGCCCAGTGTCAGGATGAAGCGTCCCCGAAACAGTCACAAGAGGAAACTTAGTAGCTCACCGGCAGAAGAATTCCATCGATCATAGGCAATTGTACCTCGCAATTCACATAATGGGTTGGTGGAGGTGCAGGCACATGCAGCTACAAGCTATGGCTTTCTGCAATTTCATTGTAATCTATGTTTCTTCCTCGTCTTCCTTATCGTTCGCTATGAGGGAATCGCGATACAAGTGGCGTGTCCTTTCGACATCCGTTGCTGCCTACGCACCAGACGTCATCACACTTCTCGCATTGAAACAATCGCTAGGAAGCCCCATTAATCCTACGCTTGGAACTTGGAACATCACAGCGCCACTCTGCGCATGGTGGGAGTGACCTGGTCACACGAGTCGATCTTCCCCTTCAACTGCCAGGAGGAGTCCTTCACCCAGGCTTTCACTTACGCAACCGACCGAGGTGCAGTAGTGACGAGCTTGGTTCTAGACTCCGCAGGCCTATCAGGGACTCTAAGCTCCGCCATTTCGCAGCTGTATGAGCTCAAGGAGTTGGTCCTAGGTCACAACAAGCTCACTGGGGCCATACCCGGAGAGCTCGGAAATAGCCCCAGCCTCACAATTGTCTCTCTCGAACACAATCAGTTCACGGGGATGATCCCCGCAACCATCTGGAACCTCTGCCGCAACTTGAAGCTCACCGATCTCCTGCTGCATGGCAACAATCTCAGTGGGCCCATCCCGCAGCCCTTGAGCGGGTCAGGCACCATGTGCCCGAAGCTCACGAGCCTCACTCTCGGCAACAATTCGCTCTCGGGAATCATCCCACCATTTATTGGAAACTTTGCAAATTTGTCGTGGCTTGATCTGAGCAACAACAAGCTCACGTATGTGATACCATTAAACTTCGCAAACCTGACAAATTTGAGCGTGGAGACTGGTCACGGGTTCAGCGTCGCGGGGAACCGCCTCATGGGTCCAATTCCTCCATTCAAGGAATCCTTCAACCCCGGCGCTTTTGAAGGGAACTCCCCATGGCTCTGTGGACTTCCATTGACGACACTATGTGCTCACGATCTGGCACTGACGACGCACCAGCGTCCCAGAGCAGGAATGAGCCCAACAGCCATCATTCTCCTCATCACCGCCATTGTCGTGTGCATTGTGTTGCTATTTTATGGCTTTTTTCAGTTAACCACACAGTCGGCACGCAAGTTGCTCAAGAAGATGCGCTTACCTCCCGAGGAAAGGTCGCTTGATGACGAGGCAAAGTTCCCGCAAGGGAAGCTCGTGCAGTTCTGCGAGAGTGGCGTCGGACCCCTATCAGAAGACACCGTGTTAAAATCCGCCAGCGAGGTGAGAACGAGACATACAGAAACCATGTATGAAATTCATGAAATTAGCAGTGCAGTCAGCCATAGCCCAAGGCTCATAATAGAAAAACGACAAACAAAATGGCTTACACTAAATGCGGCACTTACGTGGCTACAATAGATGGCTAATTTTCTAATTTGTTGACGTAGTTGATGGAGGAGACGAAGTATGGTAAGATCTATTGAACTTGGTTACCCAGCAAGCAAATGTTGTCTCTCCACTTGTTCAAAGAAGACCTCGCTAGAGACGAGCCTGAGTTTCTCCGAGGAGTCCTGCGATTAGCAGTCATCAAGCATCCCAACCTTGTCCCATTAAGAGCTTACTACTTGAGCCGTAGAAATGAGAAGCTGCTCATCTTCGATCACGTTCGTGGCAAAACACTTGCTGATACCATTCACGGTCAGTCTAAAACACCGTACCCTTATTCTTCTGAAATCATTTCCCATCAAAGTTTATATTAACAAAACTGCAATCGCAAGGATAGTTCAGGCTGTTCTATTGAAGTGTCAGGTAACTCATATTGATGCAGGAGAATGTCCCCTGAACTGGCCGCAGAGACACAAGATTGCTCTCAGTATAGCCCAGGGACTCGTTCACTTGCACCTCGAGCCGCCAAGTCCACTTGTGCACGGGAATCTTAAGACTTCGACCATACTGGTTGATGGGCATCACAACGCCCTTCTAACAGGTTACGGTCTGCATCTGCTTGCGTCTCCAGCAGTAGTTAACGCCGTCGTCCTCGATGCAGCTAATGAGGAATACAGTACAAAAAAAACTTAAATACTTCGGTCTATTGCTAGCACAAGCCACCCCTATTCTAAAACTAAAAGCAGTCGTGCAGTACCTACGGTCTGTTTATGAATTCTGAAAATACAAATAGAGGCTATACGAGGAACTGACTCGTAACGTGCTTCCAGATACAAAGCCCCGGATTTGCGAAAATCCAAGAAGCTTTCTACACAAATCGATGTCTTCAGCTATGGCGTAGTCCTTCTGGAGATTCTGACGCGACAAAAGCCAGGAAGAGTACCAGGGACTGATAGGACGGTTGTTCTGCCCGAGCTTGTGAAGACTGCCATTCTAGAAGAGAGAACTTCAGATGTGTTGGATCTCGAGCTACTGAAACCAAGTATGTATACACCGACAAAGAATGGACTGGTTGAGGTAAAAGATACGTATCAAACCAAGTCTATAAACAAAAATGATATTTCTAACCAGTGCAGCTGCTTATTTATCTTTCTCAGGAAAATATGTTTGAAAGAGAATAAGATCCCATGTGTGCCCATCTTGTTTTTGGGAGTAGATTTTAAAAGTTTAAAAGTACCGCTGCACGAGAGAAACAGTTAGTTTAACTAAGAGCACTATTTTTCCAAAGAAATGAATCCTTCTGCCGTCTGCAATGAATGCGCAGGCACTAAGACTGGGAATGGCTTGCTGTGCACCATCACCATCGCTACGGCCAACAATCGGAGAGGTTGTACAAAAATTAGAAGACATTCAATCAAAGTTTATGACGCGAGGCATAGCCTACACCAAGACATCCTGCAAGCTATAAGCTTGATTGCGCAAGAAACGTACACACCACCCAGATCGATTTTGGTCATCCAAGCTTGATCGCGATAACCTGAATCAATTGCTGAATCAGGAGAGTGTTACAAAATGGGTTTCCTCTGTCAATGCCTGAACTGGGAAACGAGACACGAGGTTGTCTCCTCAACTAGTTTATCAATGCAGGGTTTTAATTGTCTACATTAAATGCTGCCACTTCAACCATGGACATCCGCAACAGCTGATGAGCTCAACGAATGATTCGCGTTTTCTATGAACAACGATGGTGAATCGATAAAAGTGCATAATGCTTTAACAACCTTACACTGTACATAGGAACCTCAAAGCCTCCAAAAACAAATTGATGTATAAATGCCTCTTTAAGACACCTTTTGAGAATCTCCAAGTACGAGTTACAGGGTAGTCTGATTATTTAGCCTGAAGTCAGGGGCGAGATACCAATCGTAAGGAAGTCCGTCGGGATTCCCATATCGAACTGATTGCTCTCGAAAAGACTTTCTTTTCCGAGTATAGGAGCCCCATGAGTACTGAATAGCCATCCTGTAACGTGAGAATTGGTTAAATATCGACAATGCCATGGCAGATCGTTGTACATAACATAGTCGGATTCTACGCAAAAGCTGCATGCTACAACAAGACAGCGTGTTCAACCCCCAAGACAAACGCTGCAACCGGAACACACGGTGAACAATGTAGTACAGCATTCTCAAATTAGTTTGTCAGATTTCCTTCACTCACCAAATAATAACTGAAGAGCAGGAAATAAATGTGAAGAGCCCCGCAGTCATTACAGACTCGCCGGCAAACGTCACCCATCTGAAGTGAATGAAAAGAAGTTGATAAGAACCATGCCTGTATGGTCCAAGGAAGAAAAATGGACAAATGTTCCCATAATAAATAAAGGATGAAACGTATTACAGATGATTCCCAAATCACTTCTGTTGCTTTCATTCTATAAAAACGTCATAGTAGAAGCTATTTACCCAACAAGAATAAGACTGCACACAAATGCAGAAACGCCTGCAAGGAGGTCCAGAAACGTTAGAAGAGCGCACCAGTTTACGGCACCAAGGATGTCAAATATGCCTCTTGTTATTCAGGGTGAAAAGAGCACCTAAATCGACAAATTGGATGGAAAAAAATGAACAATCAAAAACTGCAGAAGATAGCATACCAAAGGAGAAGCACAAAAAGGCTCGTTGCCAGCTCTTTTCACACCTGCAAAAAAAGACAACATATGCATCCGTAATAAATAATCCACGACAGATACTAATGCGACTTGAAAGAATGTAAAGCATGCTTTCTACTGCACCGAGCTTCTTTCCATTACCTCAACTCCCAAAAAGCCTCCAATGTGCGTTTAGGGCATGGGGGTCGATCCCCTAGCTCGAAGTTCATACAGAAGCTACGACATTGAAAGATAAACTCTTCCTCCGCAACCTCGTTCACATAGAGCTTCCCCATTTTTACAATACTACCCAAGATAAGTGTGCATGTCACCATAGATATGACCATCAAGCCCTCCTGTCAATAAAAAGAGAGATTACATTGTTAACTTTACGCGACTGCCAAAATGACGCTGAGCCTCGTTTTGGAAATGATGTAATTTGACAATGTTAGAAAGCAAACGCACTTACAACAAGAGCAGTGAGAACTCCGTAGAAACCGAGCAACACCTAGTTACACAACAACCGTTTGTTAGTATGCACACTCACAATGGATCTAACAACCAAGTGGTCTTTTGCAAAACCATTTGAAGTAAGATTTATGATTGAAAGATGATAATTGCGACAATCAACAACAACTGATGTGGAGCATATTCGACAGATGGCCTTGTTTATGATAGATAGAAGTGACAGATAATACTTGATGTAACCCTATCGATCCCCTAGATGATGAAGGGAATCAAGAATAACTCACCCAATTGTAATCTGTCCGCACATTAAACTGTGTCAAATTGACTGTTGCAAATCCGCAAAATAATGCTGCCAAATTGGAGATCGATTTCAGTTGATCAGATTTTTCCTCCACATCTCTCCTATTTTTTTCAACAAACCTGCTCACAAACAGGAAGATTATAAGAAAACCGCCAGAAAAAAAGAAAAAAAGAAAAAAAATCCAAACTAGGGTACAAAAGTAGAGAAGGACAACTAATGAGTTTAACTTGATGGAACCGATGTCCACAATGTGATGGGATCGATGTCAGAGTAATTCATGTGCAGTCAATTAATACAGAATAAGCACATACGTGAAAACTTGCCAAAAAAACTTTCATAACGAAGTTTAGTTCCTGCTACACCACCGCAATCGAACGCAACCTCCTAATGCTCTAAATACTAAGCCCAAATACTTCATGTGAGCTAGCATTTTGTGAATTTTCTGAAACTTGTCCACAGAAATCGGGCATGACGTAATTCTATCTAGCAAGAAAAGGATTACATAGATAGACTGGATTGGTAGTGGATTGACAGTGCAAAACTGTGCTTGCCTAAGCCAAAGGGCCCTCGCGTTTTCGAGGTTTCGTTGCTCCATGTCCTCCTCTCTCCACCTGAATACAAACAGAAACAACAAATAGAAGCCAAAGTTGGAAGCTGTGAAAACAACTCAAATGTCGATTACGGCACTCTGTGCTTCTCATCATTGACGTTGAACGCCAAAGGGCAAAGCTACCAATTACTCCTTACTTGCTTTGTTCAACATAGGAAAGTGCGACTCACTGTATTTTCCGATACCGCAGGTCACTCATATCAAGCAAGTGAGAACTCTCGGACTTAAAGTAAGCCACGTCCAACTCATGGCCATCGGTCAAGTAGAGGTGCCAAGACCGCTCCTCCTCCCGCCAAGCCTGGCTCATACTCGAGTCCCACGCGGTCATCACCGCCTGCGCCTTCGCTATCGTATCCATCTCGCGCCCAACTCTTCCTCACCCACCTTAAAATTCAGAACTTCCCCAATTCATCTACCGCATCCCGTCCGACTCAGCCCCCACAAAAAGTCGCGAGCAAAACACCATCCCCAGAGACCTTTTCGAGTTTCCAATCACACAGAAACAGGTAAATTGTTCCGACCCATCTGCTAAAATTCATGCACAATCTGCACATTCTCGTACAATCCACGGCACGATCGGTCACGCCGGGAATTGAAAACCTCTTTGCAGGGCGAAGGATTCGAAGCTTAAACCCTCGTCGACCTTCCTCATACTCATTCTACAACTACGAGACCAACAAGACCAACAGTGGCAGAATCTGCACTGAAGCCGCTCTTAAAACTCTGGGTCCCCGTGTGCTGCGCGAGGATTGTGGACATCGCAAAACTCGGTTAGTCGCCTGCGAAAATACGTCGTGAAGTTTTGAACGGCGTGGCATTCTTCTTCTTCTTCGTCGAGTTGTTCCAAGCATGCAAAAAAACGATGAATGTTGATGAATGTGGGTGTATGTGGTTAAATTTGTGTGGGTTGCTTGGTGTTTTTTCTTACAAACCAAATCAATTGCTGAATTTTCCACCAAGTCCACTGTAATTCGACATTTGAGGTTCTTTGTGATGGTTTTTAGTAAAAACACGTACATCCTTAGTATCTAACTTGTGTCAAAAAAAAACTTTGCAAATCAAAGGTATTTTCACTGTTTTTATAATGGTTTTTTCGTGATGTGTTGCTTTGAGATAAAAGTGCAGCAGTGTTTTTGTGAGTCCTGCGATCGTGAAAGATGTGTTGATTTCTAGAATTAGATTGGCCATTACAGTGTTTACAGTAAATAAAATAATCATAACTTCAAGTTGTAGACTTGCTTCATCAAAAACTGAAAACCAACTGTGTGATCAACAGCTTAAATCTGGATGAATCTCTGATAATTCAACAACAATGGCATGTATGAAATTAAGAATAAATTTTGAAGGCAGGATGTGTTAGAAATTGCTTCATGTGAAAAGAAGGTAACTACAACAAAGATCTTTATTTCTTAAAAGATTCCTTGAATTGAATTCTAGGTAATTTTTTTGTTGTAATGAACAAAAAAAATGTAAACCCTTCGCATCTGCTTGGATTGTCGCAGAGAAAAGCATCCTAATAATTGAACATATTAAATTTACTCAATACTGTTTGAACTAACAATGTGGTCATAGAGAACATTTTCTGCATTTTTATTAATTTTTAAAGAGTTGATCCAATGGGAATTTCTGTTGTTTATTTGGAGTCACACAAAATGTAAACACTTTGTATTTTAGAATAGACACTAATGTTATTTTTAAAATTTTAGAGACTACTTAACACATACTCTTTAATATTTTTCAACCCTGAAGAACAAATTATTCATTACAAGTTTGGAGCTTTCTGTCAATTAATTAAACTTAGTTAAAACAACTTTGTGCAAAGGTTAATGCAGTATATAAAGTAGAAAGTAAAACATTAAAACAGTAGAACTTGCAATAAGTAGAACTTTTTCTTTAAAATTTTGAGTTAATAATAAAAACAATGATAATAATTCAAGAACTGATGCCATCCAAATCAAACAATAACAAAATAAATTCTATTCTCAAGCATACGAACAACAAAGTTGATTGACTAGACTTCACCATTCATTGTAAATCATCACAAGCATCGTCTAAATGAACTAAACATTTAGCTACCCAAATCAAAATGAGGTGCTTCTCTGCTACAAAAACGTTGTTAAAGCTCTGGCATGTTTTCATAGACAATCATTCAAAACTTGAATTCATGGCTAATTTCACACAACCCGAGGCTTTAACTATGGGACCCACAAGTAGTGCCACTTTGAGATCAACTGCTTGATGATGTGGTTTTGAATAATACATCTCCGTAATAACTCTACCTGTACGATGGGGCATCAAAGCAGCGTTCTTTCTTGTCTTTCTCTTATTGAAAACAGTGTTGAGATTTGTGGATCCTGACCTGACTTGGAAAAAAACCAAGGCTGAGTAATCCAAATGGTGTCATATTCTGGTAGTCAATTCTGTAACAGGATGAACACTCACATAACGAAGGGTTCTCTTGTGTCAAAGCAGCAGAAGAAATCCACTTCTGGTAGTATTCAAACATAAAAGAATGGAAACTTATGTAACAGTCTACTTTCTGATCGAAACATTACCAAATGCCTTTTTCCTGGTTTGGTAGGTACTATCAATCAGCAGCAATTAAATAGCGTCAGATTTCACATCTAAGTACTCTCGTAGAATGCTGTTCCGGCTGGGTTGCCTCAGCTTGCGCATCGCTTTTGCCTCAATTTGTCTTATCCTTTCCCGAGTAACTTTAAAGATTTGACCTATTTCTTCTAAAGTCTTGGACCGCCCATCGTCCAATCCAAAACGCAGTCTTAGCACCTCCCTCTCTCTTGGGTTCAATGTGCGTAGAACGCCCTCTATATCTTGTCGCATCAATTGCTTTACGATTGCGTCCTCAGGTGAATCCACATCTGTGTCTGCGACAAGTTCCTGTGACGACAAAGAGTGCATCATGAGTGCAATCAGTAATTCAATCCCTGGAATTGCCTGTTTTCGAGAAGCCAATCCATCCATGGAAGTGGGTGATACAGATTAATGAATGCGGCTGAGATGTGAACATAATAGCTTTTGATTGAAGCCTTACCCCAAGTGTAGTGTCCCCATCTTTGCCAATGGGCCGCTCCATCGAACCTGGTGCCTTTGCTGATTTCACTACAGATTTCAGTTTCTCAACAGTCAAGCCCACTAGCTCAGCCACTTCCTCGTTACGTGCTTCCCGCCCATGCTCCTGAACCAGCATTCGCTTTGCTTTGTTGATACGTGAGATAACTTCGTATAAATGAATCTGTTCAAAAGCACAAGAGTACATCAGGGAGATGGCTTGTGCAAGGACGCAAGCTTCACAGTGCGAAGAAGCGTATATTACCCACTACTTGAACGTTCTTGCCATTGTAGCTTAAACCCTAGATAAACCTCGATTTGAACAACTTACACATGGTGTGTCTGGAGATAACTGTTGCCCAAAAGAGAAATTTGAATAATGATTGGATGGTTCTCAATGCTCATAATATGCAATAGTCAAGCTTAGTGGCACTTACAGGTAAACGAATAGTCCTAGATTGATCCGCAATTGATCGCGTTACAGCCTGCCTAATCCACCAATGTGCGTAAGTGCTGAACTTAAACCCCTTGGTCGGGTCGAACTTCTCCGCTCCTCTCACCAATCCCATGCTCCCTTCCTGTTCGAATAGAATGGACATAAATTAGGCATTACAGGATAAGATAGAACCTCAACCCTGAAGCATTCACATGTGATTTAAGCTCATTCCAATTTAAAATAGTTTGCACTGTTGATCTTCAAACTCCTGATGTCAACAAGAGAGCGCAAGCAAGTGACTCGCTCCACAGAACCTTGCAAGCGGAAACCTTAAAACCAAAGACATTTGTCTGTACAATCGATCGACAACGGACCTGAATTAAATCTTGAAGAGTCATGCCTCGGCCCTGGTAGTTTTTCGCAATCGAGACAACCAACCGCAAATTCGAATTCACCATTTTGTCCTTGGCGAATCGACCCTTCTTAAGCCGCGCTTCAAATGCATTCTGTTCCATTCCTACCGCTCTACTCCACTCTCCAATTGTGGCATTCCTTCCTATCTCTCGCTCAAGGTTAGACTTGATATTCTCCAACTTCAAAAGATCCTGAGTGATGATCGAACAACAATCCTAGATTAGAACAGAACCCTGCGAGAGACTATCAACAGAACTAGCTAGTGTGGACATGCAAAAATTGAGAAAACTTGGCATGACACGCAGCATACGACAAGTTCAGAAAGAGGGACATTGAAACCAAAGAAAGGTCTCACCTGAATTTGATGAGAGAGATCGACTTCTTCTCTTGCTGTTAGCAACTTCGTCCTTCCTATGTCTCGCAAATATGCACGGACTGGGTCTGAAGGATCCGCCGCAAGCTGTGGTTTCTTAGGTTTTGGGAGAGGGGGTGCTGATGCAAGATCGGTGGCAACCTTCTCTGCCCTTTCCAACGCTCGCTCCCGCCTCTTCCTCCTCTCTCCCTTCCGCTTCGATTTAACGGCTACTTGAATTTGAGGTAAGCTGTTTGAATCATCTGCAAATCAGACAGAGTTGCTGTCAATGATGTAATGCTGGCTTGAACCAAGCCAACCCTACCCTTGACAATCATACCCTACCTGGCATTACATCCACAAAACGTTCATTTGACAGGGTACACAGAGGTCTCACGAAGACTCCCCAATTTGATGAATTGAGGGTTTAAGGGCAATTTTGAAAAATAGGATATGGGGATCACTTGAAGAAGAAGAGAAAGATGATCAAGAGAGAGATGATGCTAGTAATGAAGTCAAGATGATGAATCCAATATGCACCTTCATCTTCTGAAACGGATGCAGTTTCCTCTTCCTCACGGACGAGCGTGGAAACACCTCCCAACAACGATTCTAGCTTCTGCACATAACTCTGCTCGGCCTCCATCATGGCAGCCTCTGTATCCAATTCAACCCGAAAAGAATGCTCAACATCGCTCAACCTGGCCCTCTCTAGTCTCAGCAGATCAAATTCCGTCGGAAACTCCTCCTGTTCCACGGCCATCGCATCAGCGTACGAGGCAGCCTCCATGGCGGCCTTTGCAGCTGCTAAAGCTAACGTCATCGCCTCCTCAGCTGCAGCACGAGAAACTCCTTCTTCACTGATAAGACCGCTCTCGGTCACCAAAGCATCATCCACCTTCAGCGCTCGACAATGCACAGTCCTTCCGAGCGGATGCAGTGACAATGGCGCAAAAACTAACGATCTTGAAGGTAACATACTCCTGCGACATCAAAATCCCAAACACTACATAAATCTCTCGCCGAAAAAACCACGAATTTCTCACCATTCTCTAGAATTCAGATTGGCACTAATCAAGTGTACGTGATCGATGCATGCCCCTTGCAATCTACAAAGATCATCCACTCTTCTGCATCATAAATTCATTCACAAATCGCACAATTCGATACCTCACCACACACCCCATTTGAGATCACATGTCCAGTATCCGAATGGCTGAATTTTTCCACAGCAAACACACCCAACATAAACCTTCAGAAAAGCTACACCAGCTCACCGGACAGCAGCCACCCTGCGTCTGCTGGCCTTCGACAGCCTCGAGGCGTGCTCCGCCCCGCCATCCCTCCACCCACTACTGCAACTAGCGTTTCCATCCTGCCCTCTTTGTCCGACCACTCCCCTCGTTTCAGGGAGCACCACGCACGCCGACGAAACAGCAGCCATCGCTGGCTAACAATCCTCTCGCTTCCAACTCTTCGCAACTACATTCACATGCTGAACCAAATTGCCCACCCACTCACTGCGAGCTGAGAGAGTCCGATCTCCCAGCTGCTCCCTGTCGGAGCTGCAGCAGTCCAAAGAGACCCGCTCTGGGCACGAATCCTCAGCTTTCGAGAACTGGGGTGCTCGCCAAAAGCGGTGCGATGGCAGGATGGCGAGCCAACTAGTGGTGTTGCTGCAAAATCCTGCGCGCTGGGCGCAGCCTACATCAGAGCGAGGGGGTGGTGGGGAACCCTCCACTTCAGATAAGCCTCGAGCCCATAGATTTCCCTGCATGTAACCACTCAAGGGATTCGATGCGATTCTACCCCCTCAACCCCAAGAGGTGGGTAGAATCCGCCGCGTTAAACAAACATGGCATTAAAACATTACTAATTCGCAGAGCATACGTCACCACGTGAATGGCTTAAAACTCCAACTTCGTCAAAACATGCCAAGCTCTGACAAAAGCCACAACATACACACATGACAGGAGCGAGCGTCGCAGTTGCTAAATTAGGGCTCCATACTCTGGGCAAGAGGATTCTACAGCGATGGCTGTGGATTATTTGCCCTCCAAATTCACTTTGGAAAGCAGATCAAAATTTGGCGTAATGCAGAGCAGAGTGTGAAGTGGGTAATTAATAATAATAAAAAAATGGGAGGATAGAATCTGATCAATGTAGAGGCTACCACGTCAGTGAGATTCTACCACGGCGAAGCAGAACCTCGAATCTACGTGACGAAAAAGGGCTTTCTGGATTCGAAAGCGAAAAGGCGGAAGGAAGGAAGGGAAGAAAAGGGGGCCGGGCCGGGCTAGGTCGCGGGGGGGAGGGGGGTTCGGGGTCAGCACGCGGGGGCGTTGTGGATAACAGGCTTGCTGGGTGGCCCTGTGATGACGTGGCGACGCGTGGAGTTGGAGTTGGAGGCATCCTTCATTCCTCGGAACCTCTCCCTTTCCATCCCTTTCCCTCTTTTCTGAAAAGCCCGCGGCAGTGGGAAAAGGGATTTTATATGGATGAATGAATTATAGACATCACGGGGTGGAGCTGCGCGCATGGATGAACAGACATCAGGTTAACAGTCCTTCTTTTTGTTTTTCCACATATGTGTGTGTATAGCTATATATATATATACTAACTAATGAAAACATATTTAGCAAGCTAAATGTTTGTATACTCATTGCAATAACTTTAAATCACTGATTGATTGATTGATTGAGTGATATATTTACATATATATATATATATATATATATATATATATATTAAAATACATTTTACCAAGCCGGTCATCCTTTTTATCCTAGTAGGAGTGGTTTCCGAGACTCTCCCCTCTTTGTGTGGATGTGTTCCTCCGTACATAATTGATTTTATACCTCAGCCAATCAATGATGTTTGTGGAAAATCAAACACCATTTTTAAAAACATATATAAGTATATATATTATCAATAAAGATATAATTTATTCATGATACTTTAAATCTTAAAGTTATTAAAATGATATTAATATTATGTCTATTTGTATCTTCATTTAAAGTTTAATGATAATAAATTAAGCATACTAATTATTTGTAAATTTAATATATATATATATATATATATATATTAAAAACTAAACATGTGGAAATGCCTAAGAATTTATAAATATCCATCAACAATAGCAAAAATAAAAATAAATCATCTTCAAACACAAAAGCTCAAAAAATACTAATCTATGAAAATATGAGCTTTAAATTAATCAAGCATTGACTATACCTAGATTTTTGTTAATGATATTCAATGTTTGAACACCTTGAGATTAAATCACACCTCAATTAATTAGAAATTGAAGAACAATTCAAAAAATGCATTATGCATCTTCAATAGAATAAGTGAACATGATTTTCGAAGACAAATGAACTTTCTTATGTGGATTTAAGATTATTTACCTCTTAAATTTAAAATACTAGCAACCAAGGTGTCTTGAATTCTAAATGCTTCTTTGATGTCCATGCTCTAATTGTTCAAATTAAAATTCACTTAGAGTTTATTTTTGTAATATCTTACAATAACTTGTTCCAAAACAAGGACTTTGATTGAAACCACTTACCTTTGGACCATATAATACATGTTATTCTTCATCTATTGGATATTTTTGTTTAAATACCAATTATTTTGCAAATTATTGCAATAATTACACTTAAACATCAATGTTAGTATTTATAACCTCTATACTAATGTTTTTAGAGAACTCTATTACAATATTATAAATATGAACCACAAAAGATGGATATTACAAGTTCTTCAACTAAAAGCAACCTTAGTCAATGCAAAAAAGAGTTTGGTATATTATATCTCATTTAAAATGTGTCAATATTAAAAGCCATTCAATTCTGTGCCCAAGTATGATTCTTTAACATAATGTATTTACAACATTTTAGTCATCATTGCACATGTCCAAAATTTTACTTAACATGTGCACATGCATGAAAGAATAAACAACCACCTCACTCCACCACACTTGTCTGCAATACATATACATCACAACAAATCTAATGTAATACACAACCACAGTTTATTTAGAACATAGTTCAGTACAAATTTATTTTACTTGACCATGTAAATTAAATAAAATGACATAACATAATTATAAATTACTGACAATCAGTTTCACCAATATAATTATTCAAATGTTCTTGGAAGTTGAAATTCAAATTAATTAAAAATAGCAAACATGAATTTAGATTGTGGAACAAAGCAATGAACACTTGGAGATTAACAAATAATTCGGCACCGCGACAGTCGTGTAAAATGCTTGTCAGCAAAATTTCTTGCGAGAAAAACCATATAGAATTGAAATGCATCTGATGCTGCATCTTCACCGCTGCATTACTAGGTATCAGTGCACGCACAGCAAAAGCTAACCAACGAGGGGATTCAAGCCTCTGCAACGGTAACGGTATTCAGCAAGCAGTCTCCACTGCTCGACTTTCCCCAGCATCCGAAGATCAGAGATTATATGCTAAACTCGAGATGTAGTTAGATGACATCTCTCTAAATCGAACTTAGGAGCGAGATTTGTGGTCTTTGGTACAATCAAGGAAACAAACTGTCTAGAGTAAAAATCTGGACGACCTCTCTGGGTACAGCGTTGCTCCTGGGATTCCGCAAGTTCGGACATTCTTTGGACAAGCAAGTCAAGAGTCATCTACTAAACTTTGATGTGGTAGTAGTCAGCGTCAAAAAAGTGCACACGGACGTAACCATCTTCACCACCACTTGAGAAACTGAAAAATCACAAGAGTTTCACAGCATTATTAGGAATTATTATTCTCCAAATGCTTGACGGTATGTATCAACTCAACTCCGCATACACTGTAGAGCCCCTACACCTCTAACTGCACAAGTAAAGGAAGCTTCTACTTGGACACACAAATCCAGAGTCAAGCATGGAGCAGATCTTAACGTGACAAGGAAAATGAGTAAACTTGGTTGGTTTGCACGACAGCCCTTTACTGAAGTACTCACTGGTGCATGTAGCGGAAGCGATCTTTCTTGAGCAGTTCTCAACATTAGTAAACACAAGAATACTGAGGAACAAGACCAGCACATTCGAAAACCTAAAAATTGCTAAATTCATATCGCATGCATCAAGAGGCTCACCTTCTCCCGTCAGGATTGAAAGCAAGGGCATTAATAGGTCCAAAGTGACCCTTCACACCCCCGATCTCCTCCTCAAAAATCTGCAGACATCAGATCATAGTGCATGTGAATCCAGTGAGTTTAGTCAAATGGAATAAAACATTACCATTGTGCAAATATTAACTAGGATGCAAACTTTAACTAGGCGTGATGTAAAGAAGCATATATCCGTTCAAGCTACATTGAAGACATACACGAGCACCTACAATGGAAGCGTAAGAGGTATACATATTGCCATAAGCCAAGGACGGCACAGTATCCGGCGACAGAGAGAATACTGACCTTGTGAAAAAACTTAGCCTCAAACTTTCCAGCTCGTGTGCTTGTCATTGTCACTTGTGATGCCTCTTGACCACCACCAATGACGACCTGTAACAAAGCAAAGATCGTTCCTGACTGAGCTTTTCATTCAGTCACTTCGGGGTCCTCAGCCTATATCAATACGACTTTTGTCTACTCCTTCCATTCAGCTATATGCTACAAAATTTTAGTTACTCTCATTTTCAAGAGCAAGACCAAGTCGATAGTAGAAGGTTAGCCAAGCCATACGTGGTCAAGAAGAGGTGAAATTGCAGCAGCATTAACAGGTCGCTCTGTAGTGTACGTTTTCAGCACAGTTAAGGTTCGTATATCCCACAGTTTTGCTGACTTATCCTGAGAGCCGGTGATAAAGTGTGACCCATCAGCTGATTTAGCCATCGATGTGATAACTTTCTGATGCCCTGTCTCAGGATCGCTTTCTATCAAGCATTTGCCTGTCTGCAGGTGAAACGAGAAATAGCTTGAGACGTAGAAAAAATTTAAGATTACAATAGGAAGAGTGCTTATGGTTTGCAAGGTCTTACAGTAGCTCATCTTGCTTGCGGCATGCCAAGAGCATAAAAAAAAATTTAGTACACGATAGCTCCAAGAATGAAGAATTCAAGGATATTTTATTTGTCGTCTGTGTAAAATAGAACGAGAGCATTGGCATTACCCACGCCATAGCAGAGAACGCGGTGACCACATAATTCAAAGGACTACGCCGCGTAAAAAAGAAGTTTCAACCTATAGAAGGTTAATAACTGAAGCAATGTAAGCAATGGAGTTTGAAGGCAGACCTCTGCATCCCAGATGCGAATGGTGGCATCTTCACCTGCACTGATAATGGTCTTGTTGAGTGGTCCCCACATTACTCTGTTAATCCTGCCCTGGGGACCTGTGATGGTGAGCACGTCCTCGCTAGATTCTGAACATACCATCCAAGAATCAACAAGTTCAGGATTTAGCAATGACTTTGAAAAACCGAACAACACAGAACGACTACAACTCGGATAACCTAGATCTTGGTAATGGTAATAAGCAACTACATAGGGTGAGTCGTAGTTCCGAAAGTGCTAGAAGAAAAGCCTGAGATATTCGATCAACATAACCTTTGCCAGCAGTCTCTAAAGAAACGTTACGTTGCACCACTCTGCGTGAAATGGACGTATGGCTTACAAACAGTCAGAGAGCTTTCCGCGACCTAAAGGAATGTCGGGACTGTGGATTATGAGATAACTCTGAACATCACCTATTTATCATTTTTCAAATTTTCGTTGTTTTAAGTACTGCCACCGTCACAGCAAATAAATCGGTGTCCTGAATGAGAGAGGTTCTAGAAATTTGTGCACCACCATGAGATAAGAAACAAGAAACCACTTACGCAAAGACCTGTCGGAGTTGATCATCTTGACATGGATGGCGGATTGCTTTTCCATGAAAGGATCGGTAGAGATCACGACCATTTTGTCACCCTCGGAAAAGCTAACAGCTCTTGCGGGAGCATCAAAGTAGAACGTGTCTAGTAAGACACCAGTTTCGCAGTCCCATAGCTTCACAGTCTGGTCAGCTGAGCTCGTCACCAAGCGTGTTGAATCCCCTGAATGCCACGACCATCGCACTCATCAACCAAACACTTTTCCTCTAATGCATCTCCATGACACAATGTTCTAAATGTTCCGAAAAACCTCACTACCGTTCGAAGACAACGCTAACATGTTTTGAAGGCTAGGGCAGAAATGCTTACTGGAAACATCGCAGCACCATACAGCTCCGTTATGACCACGGTATGTGCCTAAGCGCTCACCATTGCTCGCATACCACACGGTGGGTGTGTGATCCTTAGCACAGGAGAAGAGCAAGTCTCCATCTCTGTTGTACTTGAGAAACGTGAGCGGCCTTTCGTGCCCCTTCAACAAAATCGGCCTCATCTCACTCACTTCCTTCACTCCTTCCAAACAACGAAATCACGCCTAGCCCAACTGGAATTCGATGCGCTCGCACACCTCAGATCCTCACGAAGCTCACGAAGCTCCCAGGCGTGCAAGCACAGCAATCTGGAATTAGGGTTTCTCAGGGAAGACTATATTCAGCCACGTCTGCCCTAACTAACTCCCAATTGCCATTCGCATGTTGGGTTGCGAGTTGCAGCGAGGAGTAAAGAAATCGCGTCAGTTTTCATTTCTCAGACAGAGTTTGGATTGCTGAAGAGATGGCTGGAGTGAAGAAGCCGCAGACCCAGTTGGTGGATGATCAATTGTTACAATTTTTCCAAGGCCTTCTTGACCATGTGACGCACTCTGCATTTTCACTTTCAAAACCCGTATCAATTCCTATTTCTGTTCACACAATGAGGCTCTTGTCACTGGTGCATTTCTTGAGATAATGCATTCGATGGTTTCTATTCTGGAGAGCGTGTACAAGTACAATGTACAATATAGTTAAAAGAGCGTGTACAAGTAGAATGTATACAAACAATGTGAACAAGATATTGCAATAGAATGCTTGGATTGGAGAGAGACGAGCCTAGCATCCATGGTTCTTTGTTTGTACTTTTGTTAGACCACGTTATGGCTGTTCATATCGGTTGTCCTCGACTAATTTTTATTGAAGCAAATCCTTCATTATCAACCATATCATTGTTGATTTTTTCTTGAAATTCTATGAAATGATTACTCTCCAAGCGAAGAATGCAGAGCTTGGTATAGAATTTTGATTATTCTCATTATAAATCCAATTTACTATACCAAAGACCTTCACATTAATCTCCTCGGTTTTAAAGCACGACTTTAGTTCCAAAACGTCTCTTCATTTCTGTTCAACTAATATGAACAGGGTATGGTATGTGCTGTTTCATGATGCTCATTAAAAATGCAAGGTGGGTTTGTTTATTTGTGAAATTTAGGAAATAAACTTTATTAGTGTTTTGTAACGCATACCTTTCACCTTGCTTCAAATTCTCTAGAATTTTTTATCCATGAATTTCATCAACTAACGATTCACAACCAACTAAAGATTCCTTATTCTTCTCCATGTCAAAGGAGTTTAGTGCATCTTAACATGTACGTGCATTAGCCCGTGGTACTGCTGTGCTTGCTTCATGCCGCAAAATCTATTCCAAGTTAGAAGTGCAGCTCATCAAAATGCTAATCTCAAACTCTCCATGAAGATTTGTCTTGAGGCGACGTATTGAACATCACGATGAATAAAAATTGATCTATTCTGTAACATACAGATATGATATGGATGATAGCTTCTCGTCGGAGTGTGTGAGCTTGTGAATACATCAACATGCAGTTCACCACCTCAAGTGCAGTTGCACAATTCTACTGTGATTGACGAATTCTGTAATTCTCTGCTAAAAACATCATTGAACCTACTGTGGTTATTCAGCATTTGTTGGTTCCCCTGAGTGTGAAGAATTTTCAGCCACGTTTCGTTTCTGCAGATGAAAACTGCAGTGATCAAGGTTTTCAGGCATGGCCTCGAATTTTTCTACCAGTGGAATAGATTTCCTTCCTCTATTGATGGGAAAAACTGGCTTACTACATCTTTGTGGTTTAGTAATATGTATGGAAATGGGCAATTACATACGAAAGAATAGGCAGCGATTGCTGCACATCTGCAGCTCCACATATCAGACTCGTCGTTTGAGCTTGATTCTGATACCTCGAGGAATCCAGTTTCCGCGACTCGCAGTTCAGAGGCTCTGTCCGCTTTTTTCAAGTGTTGCAAACTATCGTTCTCAATTATCCTGACACAAGCTTCAGGAAGAATATGGCAGCGCAATCAAGCTGCGTTGAGAGGATAGCATCTAATCGACTGCTTGAAAGTTGCAGTTCAAAAAGTGCAGTAATGCTTTCAACACTATCCGCACCTCATCGTCACGGTGATTGCAAGACTGCTGCCGTAATCTCAATGGAAAGCAATTTGTCTGCGTGGGAAACAACCCTGCATACGATCTTCCATGCTTCTTCTCTATTCATCAAGATATCTCTAACCCACAATCTATTCCTGTTCTTCTAGGCTCATTTTTGGATTCTTAATCGATCGAGTTCGGATGGCTTCAATTGGCAACATATTCTGAGGGCTCGTTGTGCAGTCTAACAATGACGAAAATGCCGCGTGCCCGGCCCAGAAAATATGACGTGTTTAGTGGCCCTAGAAGCAGATGACACCGCCAATCTCCGATATTCGTTGCGAGGAGAGAAAAACGGCAGTGCTGATCAACAACCATGACGGCGAGCCGTGAATCTTTTCGGAAGGAGATTAGACCGGATAAAATGTATGTAGGACCTGCATTTGAGAGATGGGGGATTGCACTTGGAGCGGAATGTAGTCCCCGAAATCGTAATGCCACGTTGCAAAGTGGAGGTGGGCCCGTGCCTGGAATTTCGCATTCCCAGTCATTCGCGGCGCTTTCGCGGCGCTTTCAGCTGATTTGCACCACCTCGAAAAAGTAGCATAGGCCTTAGAATTACAAAATGGTTGCATTTAGGGGTGCAAAGCTTTCGTGTCTGTGTTGGCAGGTTGGAAGTTGTATGTGTGCCTCACTTGTTACGCTTGAATATTTTTTTTGTTTCCCGATTGTTAGTATTCAGTATAAGGAGGATCTGAATTTCAGCGTGCGTATCGGCCTCCGTGTTGGTCGGCGTCTGCCCTTCGAAATGAGCTTGTTTGAATTCGGGTGCCCGTTACAGACCATGTTAAAGTTTCTTGTCGATTCGCTAGTAGATTGACGCATTCATTCTTGCGCAATTTCTTGTGTCAGGCTGAGAATTATGAGGTATTATTGCAACTTGAATTTGGTGTCCAGCATTTCTGCCCTCGATCGTTGGGTTTCTTTCGGGTAGAAACAACTCCGAATCTTAGTCAATATCTGGTGCGGAGGAATGTCCGAATGAATAAGACATTGACAACTTGTCATCGTCTTAGCATCCCTGCAAGTGTGGATCCGGTATGTGTTACTTGGTTTTTGGAAGGTCTCGGATCCTTTAGTGAAGAATTGCTGTTTCATCTGCGCTTGCTCTCCTTCTTTTGCTTAGAAGTGGACATTTACTTGTGGCTAGATCGGACTTAGATAATCGCAATGATGTGGTATCCTGCGACAAATTAGCAATGAAATTCGGTACTTCTCGTGTCCTTGTGCAGCAAGAGCTCATCCCTGAGAACCTTCGCACCCTGCTCCACTGTCCCTGATCACAAGCTTTGCAGGGAACGCATTCAAGCGTGGGATATGTTTTAGACTTTCTTTCGATGTTAAGCCACTATGGGTTCAACGTCAATGTGCAATTCTGGCAATAACAAGCATCAAGGATGCGGCAATAAATGGCGTCCTCCGACACGTGAATATATATTTGCAGAGCAATCGAGCTCGCTTTGATCCTGTAGAGGTTGGCACATTACTCACCCTGCCCTCCTTGTCATGAATTCCTGGCGTTGATGTCGAAAGTTCCGTAAACTTAGCCGCAGGGTGAGGGAAAACCAGATTCCCATGGAAGACACAGTCACTGTCAATTTTCCAGAATGAAGAAATTCATCTCATGAAGTTTCCTTTCTTGTCAGCGATTAGCTTGCTATGGCGCCAGATGCCAACCAGAACTTGGTGGTAGAGGTTATAGGTGAGCTCAACAAAGTGCTGCAAGAAGCACGCGATTCCCCCGCGGAGAAAGAGAGCTTCTGGCGGTTCATTTCATACCTTCAACAGCTTCGGTCTCAACTTGATCAACTGAACGGCGGAAAGACTCCCGAGTTGCCTCTTCGTGTAAAGACCTCGCTAAGCGGCATCAAGGCAGAGTTGGTCCGCTTCCAAGATTCCCTGCAGGTATGGAAAAACAAGAGCGGACTGTATTTGCTCACACACTGCCGGGAAGTGGTAAGCGAAATTCAGAAGACCACGCATGGGATTGGAAACTGTCTGGTGCGCTTCCCGGTGTCAAAAACAGCGTGCATAACGCGTTATGAATCCCAAATGAAAGACGTAAGCAAGAAGGTGGAGGAACTTGCCCGTGAAATGCAACAAGCTCTGTTCACGGTATTGCCTCACCACTTCGTTGTTCAAATTCGTCCTTTGGTTCCGTGACCCATTTCAATTTTGGCCAATTGAGGAAATTCTAATTTCGGTACCTGGTTTTGAGGCTGATTAGGTTTCAGCAAGCGAGGAGCGCATATGTCACGCGCTCGAGAAAGAAGCTTCCCAAGTTGAGAGAAAAGAGGATTCCGACTCGGGATTCCAGAATGCCATTCTTCTTGACATCGGTCGTGAATTAGGTCTGGATCTTGGCAGAAATAGAGGTGCGTTGTTTGAGCAGCTTCAGCTGCTGCGAAAGGAGCTAGTTGACTGCCAAGACCAGGGACAAATCCAATTGCTGGAAACGCTTGAATTAATGTTCCAATCATGGAGTCGCGAGCCTGCTATACCGCGTTGGCATGCGCTAGCGGAAGCTGCAGAAGACGAGCCAGTGCCCCCACTTGAGACTTTCTTGTGCCCGTTAACTAAACAAGTATGCTTCGTGAGGCTCGTGTCTGGTAATGGGTATTTTATTTGTTATCCTTCTCAGGTTCTTCTCGGGGTTTTACACGCGACGCGTTCTCAACACTCTGATACCATGTGTAGGTAATGAAGGATCCAGTGTTTCTGCAATCTGAGCATACCTACGAACGCCGTGCTATAGAGAATTGGTTCAGTTCTTGTCAACAGCGAGGATGCCAACCTACATGCCCTGTCTCTGGACAGGTACTGTCGTCAACCGACTTGCAACCCAGCCTGCTCCTTCGACAGACCATTCACGACTGGGAGCAGCGCAACGTTGGTGTTCGAATCCGTCAAGCAAGGCTGCACTTGTGTTCAACTGCCTCGGTATAATTTCATTCTCCGTCCAGTTTTGGAGTCTGTTCATGTTGCTATCCTTTGCATGGAGATTGGAGACTCATGCGTAACATTTGGAACAGGACGAATCAGCTGAGCATGCTCTCCAGGATATAATTCTAATTGCTGAGGACAGCGATGAAAATCGCCGCATGCTCTACGAGGCAGGAATTATTCCTGTGGTGCTTGGACTCTGGCAGCGTAACGCAAGAGGTCGACCTCACCTGCGAACTTTGGCCATATCTGCTCTTAGCAAAATGGCGATAGGCTCTCAAGAAAATAAGGTGCATATCAGATCTAAGACAAGATTATTCTTATGCTCTCTTGTACCGTCGCTACCTTCTTCTGTGATTCATGCTCCCTGGATTGAGTATGAACCACATTCCTTTGTGGTTTTTCGCATCGGCAGGATACCATGGTAGAGATGGGAGTGTTGAAGCTCGCGGTGCAAAGTCTGGGCAGCTGCGTTGACAAAGAAACGGAGACTGCAGTCGGTCTTCTACACGAATTATCATTAATCCCATCTTTAAGGGCACGAATCGGAGCGGAAAAGGGTGCCATCGTCGCCTTGGTCCGAATAACCTCAACTCACAGCAGCGAAAATGTCGAGAATAGCAACATCGCCGAACAGATCCTCCTCAACCTGGAAGACATCGATTTCAATGTTTTGCAAATGGCTCAGACGGGTCGCATGAAACCTGTACTGACCCGCCTAAACCAAGGTTCTGAGGAGACGCAAGTGAACCTTGCGAAGCACTTGTCCAAAATGATACTCACAAACACGAACAAAGAATATGTGGCTGAAACTGGCGGTGAAACCCTGGTCCAAATGCTGTCGATCAGTCCCTCGGCCAGTGCGAGGGAAGCCACTCTCGGTGCTATTTTCAACTTGTCCACAGTAGACGGCTCTGCAGATGCACTAATCAAAGCTGGCGTTATCCCCCAGCTAGTGTCCACAATAACTTCGTCTCAGGCACACACGAACTTGCAGGAGGTTGCACTGAGCATTCTAGCAAACTTGGTCTTGGGGAATGGGAACTGGGAGGACTGCAAAGTGGACGAAGATGGCAATTTCTTGCATTCGGAGGAAATCGTACACAAGCTCTTCGGCCTCCTGCAGAGTGGTAGCTCCCAGTGGAAGGAGAAAATTCTGCTGACTTTGTGTCGCATGGCTAGCTCTCCTCAAGTTGCAGGTTTGTAGTGTTGGCCGCCAGATTTGGTTTCATGCTCCAGTAGAAGTTCGTGATTACTTACTGCGTCTGGTTCATTAAAGCAACTTTGTTTGGGATTTGATAGATGTTGCGGCAGCTAGAATATGCAGCTGCGGTGGCTTGACCACACTTATGACGCTTATGGAGGATTCAGACACGAGTACTCGATTGAATGCTTTGCGATTGCTCAGCGTGCTGAGTGCGCACGTTGGGGATGACATCGCCACCACTCTCCGGTCAACCCTCCAGCTTAAATACCTGAAGGAGGTTCTTCAACAACATGGGAAGGCGATGTTGGAAGAGCGCGTTGCGGCTGCGACAATTCTTGCCAATGTCCCACTCACAGAATTTGAGGCAAGTATTTACCAACCTACATTGTTTTTTTGGTAAAGAATCATCGAATGCACTATGAGTATTTCATCAGCCTCACGATGGTTTTGAGAATACCTTACGTTGGGATCAGGTTTTGCAACTATCCACTTTTCTTTGTTTTGTAATTCCGAAAAAAACATTAAGAAATATTGAATTCCTCGGATATCCAAGGTTAACATTCTGCAGAGATAAAGCGACTAGCAAGTGTGATGATGACGAAAATTTATTGGTAGAGATTGGATTCCAGAAATGAGTTTGTGGATTGAGTTCCAGAGATGGTGTTATGCTTGCAGGTAATTCGAGTGCTGGAGGTAGAAGTTCTTGAGTGGACAGTCGCGGCCCTTCAAGAATCCAAGACAGTGCGGCTGGGAAGACAATCCGGTCGAATAGATCCCCCAATGCAGGAGGCACTGATGGGCATCTTACTTCACTTCGCCAGGAACTCCAACGTCAAAATCCTCAACACCATGCGGCAGCTTCACCTACTCACAATCTTCAAAGAGAAGGTAATGGAGCACAGCTGGACCCCCTTGATCAAAGAACGGGCAGCCCTGGGCCTCCAGCATCTCTCACAACGAGCACATCTCTTCACTCTCCGAGGAAGCCCACCTCAAGCCTCCCGCCGACGGCCCTCATTTGGGCTGTGCATGTTCCCGTCCAAAACCATCCGAGACCTGCCAGAGAAGTGCGACGTTCATGGGGGGCTGTGCGACCCCAACAGAGCGTTCTGTCTCGTCGCCGCGCGCGCCGTCGCCCCTCTGATCGAACTCCTCGAGGATGAAGACAATGCGATCCGAGAAGCGGCGTTGGGCGCACTCTCCACCCTCCTCATGGATGGCGTCGACGCGAAAGCGGGCGTGGAGGAGCTCATTCGAGCCGAGGGGGTCCAACCCATCCTCAACCTGTTCTACAGCGTCCGGGAAGGCCGCCTCCAGGAGAGAACCGTGTGGATGATCGAGCGCATCTTGCGAGTGGAGCAGTACGCGCAAGGCTACGCGACCGATCAGGGTCTCCTCAAGGTCCTCATGGACGCGATGATTCACGGCCACCCCAACACGAGCCTCATCGCGCAGCAGGCCCTCGCCTCGCTCCAGCAGATCCCTCCCGGAGAAAGCTCCTCTCCTCCTCGAAAATCCCACCTGGGGCCCCGTAACTCGATGTGAAAAATCTCATCGCGACACACCCTTTCACTCACTCACTCACTCACTCTCCGTAGCCTTGCCCCCCCTGATCCAATCGATCACGGCGTACATTTCGAACATGATGTCTACCGGCCCCCAAGCCCAATTCGAGTTTAATTTTATTTATTTATTTATTTTTCTTTTCAAAACTCGGCGAGGGGCCTCGTCATATCCGTCAATGTGACGTCAAATTTTTGTCGTCGCGTCCATGAGGACCTCGAGGAGACCCTAAACTCTAAACCCGGGATGTTTTTGTCCGTAGTGGGTCACTGAGCAGAACAGCAGCGGCGTTGACTCCTACGAAGTCAGCTCCGATGTCATCAACTGCCGTGTTAGATGGCCTGCTTGTTTCTGGATGATGTGCAAAAGAACACTGTGTATGCATGTGAGTCTTAAGGTTTGAAAACAGGGCTTTAGATAGAAACAAAAAAAAAAAAAAAACAATAGTGATCACCTCCTAGATGCAGTTGTTTCTTCTTCTGGTTTATTCTTTCCACTTTTTTTCAATACAGAAACATCTCATCTATTGATTTATTTATTTATTTATTTTCGATGTATGAGTATAGTACGAAATCAACTCAATTCACATTGTGTGCTGGTGGCTCTGAGAATTCTATTTTCACCCAGCTTTGTTAGATAGGTAAATGATATTAGAAATAGATATTGGAAACCATATAATTTCTTCATGATAGCAACTAGTACCTTTACATCCATTAAAATAATGGTGGTTTCGATTTCGTAGTTTTTTTTCGTCATGTGTACGTTTCTTGACAGAGCCGTAGATAAATATAGCTTACAGTCCCGTTATAATATGAATGATATTTGTTTCTAAACATTTGTGATATTTTAACTTAGTGTATATTTTGTGTGGTTGTGGTAGCTTCGTGTTTATGTATGCACATAACAAACGAATAGCTGGTAACAACAACCATTATATATTTGCATCTACATACTGAAACAACAAATAAATTACTGAACTTCGGGTTATAACCACCCATGAATATACCATTGGACGAGACAATGATTTTGTGATGTTCTCAAAAGCTCGCAAGGGAGGATGTGAGGATGTGAGAGGATGTGAGTGAGGATTGGCGATGGCGACGGCGATGGAGGACGAGGAGTGTGGGTGGCGGTGGGGTCCATGAATAGTGGAATCGAAGCAAGGAAAAGCACATGGGATTTGTATGTAACAGGCTCCGATCACGCCAAGCTCGTCAACCCACAACATATTATTCCTCTTCCTCCAGCACACTCCCCCTACTTGCAGCAGCCAGCAACAGTGACACTGACACCGCTGGACTCCACGACTTGCCTGATTCCTCGCCCCCATTGCTACAACGCCATCACCGATCCACCGCTTCGGAGCGGCTGCTGCTGCAGCGTCGGGCGCCGCAAGCGACGCAATTCTCGCACCGGCGCTTTTGCTCACAAAAGCCAAACGAAGACACGACGACTGGGTGACTTCAGGCTGGGGACCAGAACTCGCCGAAAGGAGAGGAATAAGATTGCCGAGCTTGCAGGGGGGTTCGAAATTGAAACTCCTTGTCAGGACATTGAGCTCCATCATGTCGATAAATGCATGTTGCTCCCGATTTCCTTCCCTCATACGTTATTTCGGGCTTCTGGGGTCCTATTTTCGGCTTCGTAGCCTATTTTTTCGGTTTCCTGCTGCCATGTTGGAGGTGGATCGGACCACCATCCAGCCGCAGCAGCATCTGGCAGATAGACAGACCCGCTATCTTGCTGAGGTGTAGACAGAGCTTTCTAACTTTACCCGGTTGAGGCAATTCCAGGCAAGATGGATCATGTTCCTTCATCGAGATGCTTGTTATGTGTACCCCTTCACCTTGCGAAAGACCTTGGAGGTGAAAAACTTCTCGTTAACGTGGTCACCATCTTTCAGGGTTCGCGATGGGTGTACTTGCTTGGAAATTATGCGCGTTGTTCCATCTTTGAAACACAAAAAGTTCTGCGCCCTGCGTGGTGTGATTCCCAGGGCTGGTGGGCAGCAAGTGCCACTTGCCGCAAAGGTGTTCATAATCTCCTGTAAAGTGTAGTGGGTCTCTCATTTCCAGATGCAGGCGAGGTTCGCAATGCTAGATGCGATTTTATTGATAGAGAGAGAGAGGAAGGAAGGGGGCGGCTGCGAGGAATAGCGAGGACAGAGTGGCTCGCGTTTCCCAATGCGGGTGAGTGGCAGATCTCAATAAGTTGGATATGCCAGAAGGCGGTGGAAGAATGGAGTATGACAGAGTGAATAGGTCTAATTTTTGCACACGGATCAGTCAGTGAGCTTCTGAAAACCCCACCGCAACCTGCTTGCATTGAGTGCCACCATATCTACTTTGAAGACGTTGGAACGCCTGGCTGCCGCAACAGGAGTTCATTGAGCATGGCTTTGGGCGTCGGCAAGTTTCATGTCAATCAGATACTTCAGAGCATGAGTCAAAAGGAAAGGAAATCTAGAGACCGCCTTCCTCCCCAGTCAACGGCGGTAGTGGATCCAACTGACTAGGTCACGAGTGTCGTTGGTTGCAATTCGAATCTCTCCACAGGTACACACGCACTCTTCTGACTTAAATCTCCGGCATAGATGTCCCAAGCAAACAGGGGTCAGTGCAGTCATCATCGAGCGTACAATACCTCGTCTTCGTCCGAAACGACAGTTGGTCACTCGTTATTCTTCGAGGAATCTGTTCCTCAACTTTTATCTCTCAGGCTTGGTCCCATAGATCGTTTGCGAATGTCTTGGAACAATCGCCCAAGTCTGTCTAGTGTAGAGTAGTGAAGTGCAACAGCTCCATGGATGCGTTTAGGCAGATTTTTGCCCAAGACGGAGCGGAGTTGTTCAGGGGTGCGGGTGCTGGTGCGGGTGTCTTACGTGCGATGGCAGGAACTGTAGCGCTGTCGCTATTCGTCCAGTTGCGGATCTTGCCATTGAGCAATGCCTACTCTGATGTCAGCGGTGAAGTGCTAGTATCTGATAGTGAAGATCAGCTCAAAGTTTTCGAGTTACAACATTTCAGAAGGTTTTGGTCCAACGTTGTTACTTCTGGATTTTGCCCATAGACTTGCACGTGTATGAGAGTTGCAGAGGCTTCACGGGAGGTGAATGTGTAGAAAAATGTTGTGTTGTCCTCGAAGGGAAAGAGCCAACTCAAGGATAATTTGCATTGAGTTTCCGACGTGAAGCTGGCCTCTGTTGGGATTGTTTGCCGTTATTCCAGTTTGGCTTCAGATTTTGGGTGAGATCTCCTTTTTTTGTAGTGCTAGGCTTACCTAGTCATGCACGGGACTGGATCGATTTCCGGTATGTGTCCTTGCATGCTTTTTATGTTTTGTGCTCCGGTGCAGTTTGCAAGGGAGCGGAGCCCTTTTCTACCGAAGTAGAACTTAGAAACGCGTCCTTGTAATCGTCTATGGAACCTTTCCTTCATAGGCTAGTTGTTAGAAGCGAGTTGTCCGCTATTTAGTAGTCACACAGAAACAACTCCCTGAGTACTCTTTCAGATTGCGAAGTGCGCTTTTTGCGGGGAAAGAGCGTGAGAGGGAGACAATCGGAAGGAGAGGGCATTGTGACACATTTAGTGATGATTGACGACGAACAATGAGGAACGTGTCGTGTTCATTCATGTTTCAGAGAGTGCATTCAATTCGCGAATGCTGTGTTAGGGATTCGATTGCTCGTCGAAGGATACAACGCAATGGGCGTGGTTTTGAGAAAAAGAGGCGCTATGGAAGATCTCTGCAACGAACTTCTAGAACTCGTTCTGAAGAGACTGCCTTTACGTGACGCAGTCCGTGCGCGAGTTGTTTGCCGGCGCTGGCGAGATCGAATCGATGCGGAGCAGTTTCATTTTCAATCCAGCAGATGCCGTTCCTATAGCCCGCTTGTGTTTAAGCGCACGGACGACGGCCAACACACTTGGTGGGGCTACAACAATGCGACGGGGCAGTGGGATCCACTCCCTTCCCTGTCGCATGTCCCTAGAAGCATCAGCTTCCTTCCTTTCGTTGGTAATCAGTCAATCTTCCTATCCTCGCTGTGGAATTCATGTTGTGCTAGAGAATTTATGTTCCATACCTTTAAGATTGGATCAGTAACATACTTTTTCTTTCGCGCTAGCTACTAACAACGACTTTGGCATCTTTCAGGAAGCGGACATGGCCTGCTGGGATTCAAAATTACTAATGAGCTTTCCAATTACATCGTCGGAAACCCTTACACCCATAAATGGAGAACCTTCAAACTAGCAGATTGTTGGGGTGACGCTGCCATGTTTATGATTAGCAGCGGGCGAGACGAGTTTTATGTCGTCGCAGTGCGGGATGAGGAGACGCACATTTATAGCTCCGTTGCCGACGGTTGGGAAAAAGTGGGGCGGACACCATCAAGTGTATCCGGGGGGCAAATAGTCACCCGCATCAAAAAGAAAGAATGCGCTGCCGTGTGTAACGGGTGCTTATACTCTGCCAGTGTGGATGGTGACATGCTGATCTCGTTCGACATGGGCACCGCACAATGGACGAACGACAGGATTAGCATCCCGATTGACACGACCAAGCGATCGATGCAACTGCTGGAGTGTGCTGGGACCATCTATGCCGTGACACAAGATGACACCACCGGAAGGGTTCGGGTTTGGGGATTAATCATGGAGATTCGCGAATTTTCACTCATTGTGGAGATGCCGCGGGAGTTTCAAGAGTACTTGAAGCCACTAGACTGTAAAACCACGACGATGCGACGTGCAAAGAAAGTCGAAAAAGTCTGGCTGAAGTCCTTCGGCCACGGCCACGAGTTTTTCTTCTGGCGCCACAGGAGTCTCCAAGCTGTCAGGTACGATCTTGTGGCGCAAGAATGGCGAAAGCTTCCGGAATTCTTACTACGGGATTCTGAGTTGACGGGCGGGCGGGAGGAACCTCAGGTTGAAATCGACGCGGGCTTCTTTGAACCGCGTTTCGAGCCATTTTTTCGTCCTTAGGTTGTTGCAAATATCACCTTATTGGTGTAATTGCGGGTTGTTCACTTGAGTCAGATTCTCAAATATCGTGACGATGAATTCCAAATTGTGCATGTTAGACTTCGACGATGAGTTCAATTGTCAGTGGATAACATAACTGTTTGGTGTTGATCACCTACGACTTGCAATTTCGTAATGCAATGTGCTACAATCGTTGAAAATATGGAAGGTTTGATGTGCTTTCAACAACTTAGATTGTACTTCACTTAACACCATTTAATAATTTGTAACTGTTGTTTGCTGATTGACAATGTGTTTTTGAGTCACTTTTGTTGAAGTGAAACCCCAGCTGATGAATATGTTTCGATTTTAGTTAGGATAGAAAAGTAATGGCTTAATTAAGTGGGAGTTTAGAAAGGCAAAACTGACTTGTAAGGTGCTTATTGAGTCCCACACAAGAACATAACTAGTACAATTAGAGGCTATACATTAATTAGGAGATTAGACAAGAATTAGGTTAATATATGATCATATCAATATCACACCACAAATAGGATCTTTGCCACAAACCATGTGACTAGGAATAATGATAAATTGTTTTTAGTTTGTGCAACAAAATTTTAAGTGAAGAAATATCAATTGGTTTTTAGAGAGGCTTGGGAGATTTTATTTTTTTATTTTTATTTTTTTAATGTAATTCTAACCATATCTTTGAATTTAATACAGTGATTGATGAAGAAGAAATGAGGCATTAAAAACAAGTTTGATCATAGTAAGATTTGTGAATAGAAAATTTTAAAAATTGACCTTAAAATTATGGTTTTTTTATTTCAAATTTAAGTACACCACTTTTTTTTTAATATGAAGTAATTTTTAAGTATAGTAACTTCTTAATATATTTTATAATTTTAAGAGATAGAAAAAATAATATACATGTAATTTTTAAATTCTTATAATACTAACATTAACATTTGTGTTATGCAAGAGTAGACACCAAACTTTGATTTAAAATCTTAAAGATGATCATAGACAAACTAAACAAGACCTTCATGTCTTTGCTCATATTGGTGCAATTTTTTTTAATTTTTTAATTTAATTATATATATATATATATATATATATATATAAAATAATAAGACAAGACAAATATCATTTTTAGATATTTACTTCAATCCTTACATCTTATTCTAAAAGATTTGATGATGCAATTCAAAATTTATTAGAATAAATTACTTCTTTGTATGAATTATATTAAACTTTATAAGAATACAAGGCATTAAGTCTAAATTAAGTTGACATATAATTCTTCAAAACATTCAAGACATTTTTAAGAAAGGTTATTTTAAACTCATTAGGAATTCTTTGACATACAATGCATTTCGTTAATTTTTTATATGTGGTTTTATTACATCAATTATTTCTTTTAATAGATCAAAAATTACTAGACAACTATCTATCAATTATACTAGTCAATTCTATAAGAAAAATATTTTCTAATGCACTTCAAAAAAGAATAAAACCAATTATCTTTGAGCTTATTGATTAAGAGTAAGGATTTGTTTTTTGATTTTTTGTTTTTTTTTTGTTTTTTGTTTTGTTTTGTTTTGTTTTGTTTTTGTTTTTTTTTTTCTTTTCATATAATTAATTCTATGCAATGAGATACTAATTTATAAATCTATCCATTGAGCTTAGTCCTAAAAGAAAGAAAAAAGTTTCTATTTGAGTTAGATTTCATTAAAGCTCATAATTGCATCAATAAGAATTTTATCTTTAATACCATAAATGTTTTTGGGTTTGATCCACAATTCATTAAAATGACAAAACTATTATTATTAAGGATTGAAGCCCTAATAAACATCAATAGACTTTTTTTTATAAGTTTTTAATTCAAAGAGATTTTAGATAAGTTTTTCCAATGGTTTCTTATATATTTCTAATTATAAGATAAATCTTAAATATTAAATTCAAAATTAGCATCAATTTAAGCCTATTAGAGATATTTTATTATTTAAAAATATGACATAATTTAACAATCATAAGATAATATAATAATATTTTAAAAATAATTTTAAAAATAAAAATATATAATATTTTTTTTAGAATATTTTATATATTTGATATATTTATTAGATAAATTAATTTTATATGGGCTATTAATTTTTTTTATTTACATTTATTCTTATCTAATAATAATATTTTAGCTTCTTTTAAATCTAATGGATAAGAAAATCATTAATAAAAAAATCTAATGTCTATGTTAAAAAAAGTATTAAGAATTGACTTAATTTATCTTTATTTGTTTACTTCTATTGATATTTATTATTTTTTGAAGATATAATAGTAAAAATAAGCTTAATATAGATCTAATGCACCAACATATAAGCTTGTATGTCTATTTGATTTAAACTTAGTACCTGAAGTGATATAAGAATAATAATAATAATAAAAAAAAAACTAGTATACAAGCTTGTGTATCTAAACACATTATTAGATAATATTTATTAAATAGAAGATTTAGTTATTAAATTATGAAACAATTCTTTAAATTTTATTTTTTTTAATACTATGCAATATTAAAAATTACTTTAACAACATTTTAAAGAATTAATCAATGAATAATATATAAATACTAATAGAAATCCATATCATTGGTACTTGAAAAAACATGCCTTTAATGCAACATTTCATGCAATGGTTTAGAAAACAAACAAAAATAATATTAGACTAATCAATTGCAAGGTCCTCAAGACAAAAGATTGTTAGAACATACTTTGTGTAAATTCCTAGTGGATAGAAGCACATATTGAGTACAAAGCAATTTTGGTCCATTATTACTTTTAGATACTTTGACTTCAAACCTTCTCTCAGGTCAACTTAAAACACGACTAACTAATCCATTAGTTTTCAAAACAACTTTGGAAATAAATGACTTAGATATTCATTGTAATTTAATCACAATTGCAAAAAGCTTGTAGAAAGTAAGCTGCTTTAAGAACCATAATAAAAAAAAAATGATTGAGTCAAGCTCTTTATACAAAGATAAAAGGATTCCATCTTATATTAACTAATTGATACATCTCTAATGCACCAAGCCTCATTCAAAAGACAATCCACAATCAATGATGAACTTTTCAATGTTGGAAATAGTCTTCTATCTACTTCTTTTTAATCATGACAACTACCATTACTTCAAGATCAATTTGGATACACATATGCTCACCTTGACTAAATCCACATAATACTTGCCAAGTGCACATTGTTGCTAATTCTTTAGCTATAAATCTACAACCACATAATCAAACATTGTGAATTAAGTTTGTCAATGTTTGAAGTCTTTATAATGATCAATTTTGGTGACAATATTGTGAGAGTTAGAACTCACCTAGAGGCAAATCATCAAATACACAAATTCAGATTTACAATCATATGAGAAGGGATCTGTTTAGCTACAATTTCACCATTTTAAAGACTGCTTCATTAACCATCACATTGCATTCTTAATATTTCACAAACTTGGTCTATTTCTTTGACTTCAAAATTTTGCTCTTCAATGTTCATTTTTGTCCTACTACATGAAGCATTTTGCAATCAATTCACAAAGAGCTAGTACCATAGATAACACACTCCAAACGTGCTAGCAATGAAATTTTTAACATATAAGATATTTCTATCTCATTGAATCTAATTTCTCCAACTTCTCCCAAAAAAAATCATTGTTCTTTTTCAAATCAATGCTTTCTTGCAATCTTGGAGAGAAACTATAAAAATTATTCTTAAAAATGCAGAATAATATATGGCTGACTTTAGTCTGAAATTGAATTTGTTAAAACCTTATGAATTTATAAGGTAAAACAATGATAATTGAGAAATCCAACTAATTAGAAGGTCAATTTGTCTTTTTAGTTTATTTTATTGATTTATATCCCCTTAATGTGTTTTAAAATAGAAATATATAGATATGGAATAATTAAATTATTTTAAAATTACTCTGCAAGATTAAAGCTATAAAAATTAGTTTATAACCATAAATTTTTTTTAAAAATAATCTTTAATAAAAGCCCTTTAAAAATATTATATTAAACATTAATTTTTTGTTGTAGAAAAAATAAGATTAAATTTATTGATATACCTATCTTCAAAATCACTACCATTTATATCCACAAGGTTAGCATATACTAAACCAAAGATTTTTAGAATAAACAATGAAAAAAATAATGAATTGAAATAAGATTTTTTATAAGTTTAATCTTTTACATGCAAAGTAATACACATAGGAGTTTTAGACCTTTAAATCTTTCAAGACTAGATTGAATTATTACAATAATATCTTTTAAATTTTTATGACAAAGACTAGATAATATTACACTACTACATCAACTTTAACTAATCAATCTTTGTATTTTTGGTTTTTTTAAGATAAAACAAGATGTAAAGGTAGAGATTAATTTTCTATAGATGGAGATTTAACTAAAAATACATACTTTTGTATAAAAAAATCTACATATTACAAAAAAAAAAATTATGAATACAATGAATTATCTTTAAAAGATGATGGATTTAGTTTTAAAGAAGTTTACACATTTGTCATATCACAAGGTAGTAGAATAGTATGATCATTAATCTATCTAATAAAATCTCTTAATTTTTTTTGGTATAATGAACTAGCTATAGTTCAATATCAATAATTATTTATAGAATAATAATTCTTTTTTAGATGAATGTAATATAAAATAAAATAAAATAAAATAATTTTATAAATAAAAAAAACTATTTAAAGATCATATCTCTTTTAATTTTATTCAAATCATATTATAGAATGGAATACTACTTTCAAATTTTAACAGAAACTAACAGTCTTTGTAAAGTAAGACTAAATTAAAAAATAATAATAAGAATAATAAATCAATATTTGACTTTTTTGGCTTACATTGCTTATATAATTTAGAAGAATAATAGCCATAATATTAATAAAATATATTTTATTTGCATGCCAAAAACATCAAAAATAGTCTCATAAATTTTGTAGAAATGCCTATCTTCTTAAAGAATTTAAAAATTGTTAGTAACTATCTTCTTTTATCTCAACATACAAGGTCTAAAAAATTCACAAAAGTATGTACTCAATTTTGAGAAGCTCTCATCCACATTAAAGACACAAAATTATTATAACTACTTATTTTTAGTGCACACTTTTGAACAATGTTGAAACAACGTTACGATAAAAATAAAATTAAATAAGATGAGAGATATGAAAGATATGATTTGATGCTAAACTTGAAATAATAAAATAATCCACATTAATATATTATCAAAGAGATTGTTAGTAAAAGCAAAAAGAATTGAGTTGGCACATAAAAAACCTCAAAATGAAATAAAGTAACTCGAAATTTTGAATAGACTTGAATTAAAACAAATAAATTAACTATTATCAAAATTAAACTACACACCACACACACCCCAACGTGAGTTAGGACCTCAAACCAAAATTACAATCTTTTACTAGATTATGATAAAGAGGTATACCCACTTATGTTTCAAAAAATAAAAAATAAAAATAAAAATAAAATAAATGCAAAAGAAAAGAAAGGACGCCCAGACTTGCACCAACTTTGAAAACTTCTGCCAAAAAAAAACACAGGATGCAGGTTTCTCTCCATTTGGTCTACAGTTTGAGAAAGAGGATGATAAGTGAAGAGTTTAGAAATGTAGACGGAGACTCTCCCCACATTCTATTGTAACATGACAAATGTATAGACTGTTGCACATTTTTGTCTGATTGTCTAACAGTCTATTTTGTGTCTGTTACACAAAATGATGGACTCAGAGTGTAACTAGTCTCCGGCTAGTCTTGCAAAAAGCTCCCCTCGTTAGTAACACGATAAACAAAACACAACACTACACTACAATAGCACAGCACAGCATAGTAGTGCTTGAAGTCTCCTGAAGTTGCTGGGTCCATGTACAGAGACCAGCGCCGAAGAATCAACCTATACATGCAGGAAGGAAATGGAATTACTCTACGATGTATACTACATTGTTTTACATGATTGAATTAATGTGCGCCTAATTGTATAACGTCGTCGGCATACAGCGCACAGATCTTGGTTCACCAGTAACTGCAGAGAATGCGGCGCTGAGTACATTTTGCTCCAAAGTCGCAGACGTGCTGTAGTGACTCGTTGAGCTTTTGGAAAACCGCTCTAACAACCAGATCGAGCAGACGGGACGGTGAGGAGAAAAGGCAATTTATATATATATATATATATATATAGCGAGAGAGAGAGAGAGAGATCTATAAATAAGGTTAAACAGAAGGATATTTACAGCTTCGCTATAAATGGATTTAAGTAGTTACATTCATGCATTGACACTCTGAGTAGTACTTGTGAGCTTGACTATTGTTTACACCTTCACGTCAGCCTACACGTCAGCCCGTCCTACCGTGCACAGGGCATCGTCGGCGGTTGCTTTATTATGCATGTAGAGTTTTCATGTCGGCTCCAATGGCCAATGTGTGTCGTTTTGGTTTGTGCAGAGGGTATATATTAACTTTTTTCGGTAGTCTTGTTTCCCTTTCGATGAGTTCTGAACTAGAGTAGTACTGTGGTGATCTTCAACTTGGAGCTATTTTGAGAGTTTCATTTTTTTACTGTTAGAGTGGCTAAATGTTTTGGGCAGAGTATGATCATCTTCCATTTGAACCCAGTTTCAAGAACATGTTTTCGTGTTTCGGTTTCCAACTTTGGACAGTGTAGAGTTGTTTTGGGATTCTTTTCTCCTGATTAGGATGGGAGCTTGCAATGCTATGCTGTGCTAGCGTCATGTGCGAAGTCTAGTTTGGCATTTAGCGAGGGTTAGGAAGACATGTAGAGATGTCTTTCTAACAAGTGTCTGTTGCTTCTTTTATTTTATGTTTCAATTTCAACGTTTTTGAACTGTTCGTTTTGTGCCCGTCGGAATTCGTAAAGAATATGTATATATGCTTATATTCTAGATACCATTGTACTCACGAGAACAACTTTCTCGAAGTAAAATTGTTTAGAGGTGCGCTGGTAGGAATACAAGGATCGTTTCACTCGGGTAGTTCCGGTTATAGAACAGTGCACAGTAAGTTATGTGGGTGACAGATGTGATTGAATCATCTGAATGAAGGAAACGCGAGCACTTTCTGCGTTAGAAAAACTCCTCAATGGTCCTCTATGACGAGTGAGATAGATGGATCCACATACTTGGGTTCCAGGCTAACACCAAGCAACATCTTTCCTTCATGCTTTTTCCCGCTGCGTGCGATCTGGTCTCTGAGCTGAGCTTCAAATACCTGTCTCCCATGTAACATGACATTTCTAAGGAACATTTCAAGCCTAGTGTTCGTCCTTGCTACAAGCAAACAGACGCTCACTCAGTCCCTGATCAACTGTTCAATTGCAGGTGTTTATGCCACATGGTCGAAGATGACCGCTGCCACCGTCGAGTGAGTGCAGCTGTGGTCTCAAAACCAGGACGAGATGCTGAGGTCCCAGCGTCTGTAGCACCCTTCCAAGAGCATCGGCGAGAGATTTAGTTGTCCTGGGACGGACGAAGGAGTGATATCATGCAGAAACACAGTGAATATGATGAAGTACTCCCCGACGCAAGCGCCGAACATCGTGTTCAAGGACTACTTCAAGTCACTATTTGGATGTAACAAGCACGAGGACGAATACTAGATTTTATTTATTTATTTATTTATTTTCTGACTGTAACTTGAGGTCTACTGCGGGAACATTATCTGTGTTATTCAAATACTCTCTAGACTATGCACGTACCCGATTGGCGAGCGATGCGAAGTTTTTCAAGAATGAAGAAGTTGAGCCGCGATTCAAAATGGTCTGTAGCCGTGTACAAGTAGATGTGTTATCTGGATATTGATAAACAGGCAGATTTAATTATTATGATGCTTGGCTAATATAAGCATTTTCGGTGTAACAAGGTCGACGATGAGTTCGAGGAAACTTTGATGCGACTGAGTATTGTCAAATTTTCCGGTGCATCTGTTTGGCCAGTCTCTTGTGTGGAGTATTATCACGATTGGAGCTGGTCTGGCTTCATACTCTATCCACACAGTTCAGCGTGGGATGGTTGTGACACAACGAACTGGTGCATTACAACGGGCCTATGGATGCGCTCAGGCAGAATTTACAACGTTGAATCAAAGTCTTTGGAGATGTAACACGTTTGTTAGTTGCATACTCGCACGTTTCGCTTTAGATGGTGCATTCAACAGATTAGCACACGTCTGAGAGTTGCGTAAAAAATGTGTTAAAAAAAATGAAAAAAAAAATTTAGTTGTGCTTGAACGAAGAACCCACTCATGGGTAATTTGCACTGAGTTTCCAATGTAAAGTTGGTTTCTGTTGAGATGGTTGCCGAAATTGGGAGTTTGGATTCAGATTTCAGATTAATTAACCCTTTGTTTTGAAGTGCTAGGTGAACTTAGTGGACGGATATCCAGTTTGAGTCCTCATATTCTCCATGCACTCTAACAGTCAAATATTAAACTTGCGCTTCGTTGCTTTTTTATGTTAGTTTTTCTTTGGTTAGGATTAATCAGTTCATTCCACTCCAAGTAGAGGTACTAAGAAATCGTGATCATTCTTATCATAGGGATTGCAGTATCCGGTTTTGACCAAATTTCCGGGTCAGTCTTTTCTTATTTAATTCGGTTTTAGAAAAATTATTTAGCTTCAATATAGAAGTGAAATGGGTTGGAAAATACTTATTGCAAAAAATTCACTTGGTCCAATTTATTATCTATTGATTTGAAAATAGGGGTGAACTTAGACTTTTATCAATGTCCTCTTCTGACATTGCAGACTTGTTGTATTTTTTGTTTTATAATTTTTTTCTCTTTCTCAAAAAGAAAACAAAAAAAAAATCTTTTTATTATTATTTCACACATGTCATTATTTTATTATTACATTGTTTGTACATTTCTTTTCATGCTTGGTTTATTTTCTTTCTGTAAGTTGTCTAAAATTAATAATTAAAATTCATGATTTTTGACTATTTTGATCTTAGACAACAAAACCATTGATTCTTTAAGTATTTTTTAATATTTTTTAAGACATTTCCAAGATTAGAGATTTGGGAAAGTAAGACAATATAACTCTTTTTTCTTTAGCAATAAACATAATTTGAGATCTAATTTGCCTTCAAAATCCAAGTGACATCTTTTACAAATATCTAATGTATAATAAAATATTTTGGTGGATCGCATGTCGGAGTTACCAGTGCTGGTGAGTGGGATCCAGTGGGAATCGGGCTTCTGCTGTGTTGATTGTTTTGAGATCGAGGAAGCGGGATGGTTAAGAGGTTTGTGGAGGTGTGGAATTCGGGCCAGGGTGATGATGAGTGATGCGTTTTGGTCTTGTGCGATGAGAGTTCGATTAGGTTTTTAATGACGTGATGTCAGTGGATTGTAGTATGAGGCGTGGTGAAGTGCAGGTACTAATGTGGGTCGTGCTTAGTTTCGGGTTTGTGTCGTTTTGTGATGCGAGATTGCGTTGTTTTCCGTTAAGGAACACCGCGGGGTATTGATCATTGGGTTAGCGATAGCCCTGAGTTCGGAGGATGAGTGCAATGTTTGTACTGAGGTTATAGCTTGGTAGATTTCGTCTGGTTTTTCTGCCGGCGTGTGCGTGCAGAGGATTTGGTAATCTCACGATCGGTTCCATGTTTGATTCATCTCCTACTCCTCTGTATACTCTGTTCTTTTAGCTTCCATGCGATGATTATTGGATACAATTGCTTCGAGCGAGTTGTGACTCAGATGCGTAGTCATCGTAGATTGATGGGAAAGCGGTATGGGCAGTTGCTGAGCTTTTTCCGTAGAGCGTGTTGGAAGGTTCCCCTCCAAGCAAGTGTGACTTTACCCGACTTGATTTTCTCTTACAAGTTTTAATGAAAGAATAAACAATCTTTGATTGAGACATTGGAGCTTGAAGCCGGTGTACATGCCTGTTGTAGCCCTCTCGCTTTCCAATCGGCGGATGCTGTTAAATTCGTCGTGTAATATGTGCGGCAAGGATACTCCTGTCGCCATCTGTGTGTCGTTTCCTCTCAAGGATTGTTTCAGGACCTGCAAGGGTCATTTTGCGACAACACACTCTTTTACAGCTCTAGATAGCATAGTTTGATTGTCTAATTGGTGTCTGATGTATGACTATTTTGGATGGTCGCAATTTTATAGGACATTAAAACTGAAATAGATGGATTTTCGCTGCAGGAAAATTGTGATGCAGGAAGACTGCGTACGAGGATGTCTGGAAGTCATGACTTGTCATCTCCATACTCAGGTGTGTTGCCGCGAACCTAGTGTCCTTCCTTGATTCATCAACCGTCTTCTGTCCGCTTCTGGTAACCTTCTGAGCAGCCGATTTTTACTATGATGCGTTCCATCCATTTGAGGTTCAATGTAGCTTCATCATTTACGGTGCTCCTAGCACATTATTTTTTTCCCTTTTTAAGAGAATGGTCCCGATTCGTTCTGTATCGTAGCAGAGTCTCAGTATCCTAGTCTAGAATGATGTGGTTTCGCCAGACTTATTCCTTCGCTTTAGATTAAGATGGCTTCACTGTGCTTAAGTAGTAGTTTTGTAACTGTATTTACCTTGTCTACTATGATCTTAAATTCACGTCTTTTCTTTTCCTTTTTCTTCTCTGTTTTTTCTTTTCATAGCAATTTGAAGGCTTGACTGTTGTCAAACTTGATCCTATGGGTGTGAAGGGTCTTGCTGATCGTTGTGATGGACAGTAGCGGGCGCTTCATAATTTTTTTCTGAATTTCTCTCTCCCAGTTCCAGTTGATTCAAAATTAGCCGGGAATCCTCCTGTTCGATTTGTACGGGTTGCAAGGAGGAACTGAGACGTCCAGTTTCCAGGAATCCTGGTTTATGAACTGCATTCTCGATGGAGAGTTTTGCAACACCGTATCCAGTAGTATTTCATGATGGGGATCAAGAGCATGATAAAGGTGTTGTAGGCGTGCACTCTGTTCTGTCGTTCAAACGGTTTCAGGCTCTAATAAGTCAAAAAACAGGTATTCCTGCCAATCGGCTTTCAGCAGTATTGTTTGTCGCAGAACATTGAAGGATAAAGATAAGCACCAAAAACTTTCTATCAATGAGAACACAAATTTTAATATCATTTTAAACCAGCACAATCCAAGCAGAGAAAAGGATTGCCATTTTCTTATTTCAATCAAGAAGTCGAAGAAGGAATGAAAAGGCACAAGGAAGCGTAATGCAGAAACAGAGAATGCAGATGATGACAATTCCAATTCCAATTCCTCGAGAGGAGATTTATCGCCTTCAGATGAACGACCTAACCCCAGCATTGCCATGGACGAACCTCTTTCTCCCCATTTCACGTCTCCACCTGTTTACTCACAGAAGTTCTCTTCTTCACCTAGCACTGCTTCACCAAATGAAAATGGGCAGACGATCAACAACAGCTCACTGAATGGAAAAGTTATCCTGGCAGCACGTGAAGGCAAAGTGGAACGGACCCTAAGTCAGGAAGGAATGGGACAGAATGGTTTCGCAAGTCCACGGCCAGGGTGGCAGAATGGAAGGATACTGAATCAGCAAGTCGATGGTGTAAGTCTCCCTCCAGCTGGGAACGGGGAGAGTCCTCAGTCTTCACATGTTCATAATGTAGAGGGGCGGCGGAAGATGGAAAACAAGGCCTGGGGGGCACAGGAAAATGTCGCCGATCTTTGCAGACAATCGGAGAGAATGAACGCTCACGGTGCTGGTCAACAGCCTCAGCACCACCTGCAAGAAAGATTCAACGATTCTATGCCTCGGGCCTCGAGTGTTAGACCCAGTTCTACTGGATTGACAAGAAACACTGTGCAAGCAAATAATTACACCTCCCGATGGTCAACTTTCTCACCAACCTCTATGTCAAGAGCTTCTCAATCTCCCACTAGGGGAGCATCTGTCAATTACTCACCTAAGATGGTAACAGGGCAAAGCAATTCGTTGATGCTGCAGCAGGCCCAAGCACACATGGCTCAGGCGCAATAACATCAACATTCAGCAGCAATGTCTCCTCTGGACTTTTCGAAACTATCTGGTGTCTTTCGGAGTTTGATGGGGAGGAAAAATAGAGTAGAAATTCGGGGATTATGTAAACAATGCTGCTTATGGCAGGAAAGGAACGTTGCGGAGCCTCCCTTTCACTGGTGTGTGAACGACACCATCACCATGGGGTTCAGGGGTTCCTCCTCAGCCGGGCCTATGGGCAGACCTGGAAGGCGGCCCGTGCAAGCGGCCATTTAGGTGAGAAGGTGGAACCTGTGAACATTTCCGAGTGCATGTGTGACGCATCCCATGTTCGTATAGATACTAACTGGTTTGCAGTTCTGTACCTGTATTATAACCTTGTGATCACCAAAAGCAGTACTACATCGATGATAAACTTGTTTCCTGTGTGTATTTAGCAATTCGGAACGATGGCGGTATTAAAAATAAAAAATAAAGTAAAAAACTCCAGTTCAGGAATTCTTTCCTGATCTATGTTCCTTCTGACTATTACTATCTTCACTCAAACATACAAAACACCGTCTCTTGGCACAGTGAGATGGAAAACATTCAAACATACAAAACACCGTCTCTTGGCACATTGAGATGGAAAACATTGTAAAACTCTAGCTAAAACAATGTAGTTCCATATCTGTAAAACTCAAGTCATACTTGTTGGCTCCCAAATGTTCTTATTTTATATTTGTATATATATATATATATATATATATGTCTCTCTCTATATATATAGAAAGCGATAGATATGTTTTCTCTGTTAGCATCTGTCTATTGTCAGTACATAGGCCTATTGAGTTTGTTTATGTTGAGAGCATTAAATGTAGTCGGTGCCCTCCATAACATTCACTGTAGTTATAGTAAATACTATAGCTATAGTGTTTAGAAATCATAGAAGCTCTCTCTCCTTTTGTATACTCTCTTGTGTGTGTTTTGTATGTGTGTGCACATTACTTCTAGCTACTTTTGTATCTCTCTCTCAAACATTTTCAATACATTATCAATATGACCACTCCTGTGTATTACTCTTGGTTCTTAAAAACTTGTATATACCTTGTCTTTCAATTTTCCTTCATTTTTTTTCTTATACTACATTGCCTTGCTTGCTTATTGCTTGTTGCTGCTTGCTCTCACCTACCTTCACGACCTTGCTATTGAATTGTCATTGCCATTGTCATCACTATCACCATTGTCATTGCTGTCCATTCACTATTTACTGCTATTAGTGTAATCTACTGTAGACCTTTGTTTTTGTGAAAAAAATAAAAAAAATAAAAAATAAAAAATCTTTCCAAATTTTTTAATATTTTTGATTTCATGTTTAACTTCATCATTTTATTTGACTTCACATTTCAAGATTCATTTTATTCAATCTTTTCTACTTGATCTTGTATTTTCTTCACAAATTTATAATGAATGCTTCAACATCCTCAACTGCCACTACTATGTTTCTAACTATTACCACTACATTCCAATATTTTCAAGCTCTCCTATTTCCACCATTGGCTCTTGATGGAAATAATTATCTATTATAGATAGAATGACAAAATCAAATTTATTTGCAGAACAACTCTAAGATGCAATTCTGTTTAAAAAATCTCTTATTGTAAGTACTTTTATTCTTCTTCCTATCCATTGGAAAGCACTTCTTCTCCTTCGTCATCATCTTGTACTTGCATTGCAATATCAATATTTGGAAATGGAAGATTCAACTAAGCTTTATGAGAATCTTAAATCTAAGTTTGATTATCAAAAGACCATTTTCTTTCCACATGCACGTCATAATTTGATACATTTATGTGTCTTGGAAGAAACAACAATGGTAAAATTGCTTCCAAGTTCTAATATAAAATGTAAATATGTAATATTTATACTCTCAGTACCTTAGAGTTTGATGAGCTATCAAGATGTACATGCCAATGGTTATCACTTTTCAACTACAATTCTAAATAGGCAAGAGGTTTTGGTTCTTATACAAAATCATAAAATTATTGAAAAAGCCTTAATTGTGATAAATCATTTATACCAAATTGTAATCTAGCCTCCTATTATATTTAATTTTGCATCATCTGTCATAGAAAGTCACATTTTTCTTTGGCATGGACGATTAGAACATCTAGGATTTATATTATTTTAGAAGATAATTCCATATATAACTAGGCATAATTTAAAACTTACATATACAAATTCTATGGAATTATGTCATGCATGTATGCAAGATAAGATGATTGCTTAGCCCTCAATTTAAAAACTCCCAAGAGAATTATCACTAATGCTTTAAAAATTCTATGGTGATATTTGTGGTCATATTAATTGAATATTTGGACCATTTTGTTGTTTTTTGGTCCTTATTGATTCATCAAGAAAACAATCACATATTTTATTATTATCAAACTAAAATAAGGTATTTTTCAAACTATTATCTATGATTATTTGTTTCTACGTATATTTTCCTGATTATCCTATCAAAACATTTTGTAGGGACAACGCAAAAGAATTTGCATCAAAGTCTTTTAAAGAATATTGTATTATAACAAGGATTGAGTTTATATATTGTGTTCTATATGAATATGCTCAAAATGGACTTGCAGGGTCATTTATAAAGTGTATATAAGTCATTATCCAACTACTCTTTCTTCAAGCAAATTTACTTGAATCTATGTAGAGTCATGTAATTTTTCATGTTGTAGCATTAATACACCTCCATCCCTCTTTTCTTAAAATTATTATATCATAAGAATTCATTTCAAGATGTCTTCTTAAGGTATTTCACCTACAAATGTTTGATTGCCCTACTTGGGTTCTAGTACCAGAACCTCAATAATGCACCATTGGAACTCATCAATAAAAAAGTATATATATTAGTTTTAGTTCACCAAATATTATTCATATTATTGATTGATCAACTAATACATTATTATGTGCGTGTTTTCAAAATTATCATTTTTAAAGAGAATTATTTTTATTTCTTCAAATAAGAATATTTAATCAATAAAGAAATACAATACTTATATTTAAAGCACCAAAAATATTTACAATGAATCTTGATCTTAGAACATCTTTGGCTGAAATTGAAGTTGTTAAGATTTTGTATCTAAAATGGATTGTGCATGAAACACCTCATAGTTTCAATGATGTGCTTTAGATTACAATAATTTTTATTAATGATGCTTAGAATACACCTACTTAGATTGTAATACTACTAATTAATATATTTTAAGTTATAATATCAAAAATTAAAAGACTCGTGGAGTAGATAAGCAACCATATATAAAAAAAGGCTAAAATATGCATTAATTTTGGTATTTTTTCTATAGAAATTCCTACTAAACCTATGGAATCATCAATTAATAATGATATGTCCATGCAAATTATATCTTCACCTCATACAATAAAAAATCTTGATATTGGAAGGAATATAACCAAGTAAAGTATAGAATTATTTATTCTATGTTATACTACAAACAACATTTGGGATAGATCATCTATTATAATAAATGAATAATTTGCATCCATGACTGCAAAATTTCTTTTTTACAAGGAAGAAGATCCTAAACTTCAAACCATTAAAGAAGTAATGCATTGTTCTAATTTATTAAAATAGAAAAATGCCATTGAGGAGGAGTATATCTTTTTGTATAAGAAGAAAGTCTTTGGTCCAATTACAGATACTCTTATATATCACCTTGTAGAATATAAGATGGTATTAGTACATAAGCAAGATGCTAAAGGTCAAATAATCTGCTATAAAGCTTATCTTGATGTTTAAGGATTTATCCAACGATTTGGCATTGATTACAAATCCACATATTTTCTAATCATGGATTTAATTATATTTTGATATATTATTAGAATAGTAGTCCATGCTACTCTTGAGATACATCTCATAGATGTGATAATTGTATATTTATATGATTCTCTTAATGTAGATATTTATATGAAAGTTTCACCTAGTTTAAAAACAAAAACTCCAAATGCACCTATTTTAGAATAATATCATGGTATTAAATTATACAAGGCCTTGTATGGTGTAAAATAATTTGGATACATGTGATATCAATGTCTATAAGATTATTTAATTAAAAATAATTTTATGAGTAATCTATTAATTCTTTATTTATTTATTAAACAAAATAAAATTAATTTTGTGATCATTCTTATATATATATTGATGATTTTAATCTAAAGGATATTAGATCTGTATGTATTGCAGCTATTAACCTACTTATCTTTGAATTTGAGATGAAAATACTTAGAAATTGTTTTTGCATTAGTCTTCAAATTAAACATCTCACAAATGGTATTATTTTTCTTTATTAACTAATATATATATTAGAAAAATCTTACAAAGATTCAATATGATTGATGCTTATCTATTTTCAACGCCAATGATTGGACATAGTCGTAATAGTCATATTCCATATTGTATGTATACAAAGAATGAAGAAATATTAAAAAATCAGTATCCATACCTCGCAGTGGTTGAAGCACCTTCATATTAAGCCACATCTACAAGTTTAGATATAACATTTTCAATTAGTATTATTTCAAGATATAATACATGTTCAATACTACAATATTAGAATGGCACCAAATATTTATTATATTATTTAAAAGACATTGAACACTTAAGAATATATTACACATGATTTGCAAATCTAAAATTACACAAATGCAAGTTGGTTTCATTAAATGCAAGAAGAGAAAGTATATTGATTCAAAATATTTTAATTATATCTATGACTTGGTTATTGATTAAGCATTTAAAATTAAAAAAATTAAATCTACAAATTACCTTGCTGATCTCTTCACCAAAACTCTTTCTTTGTTCAACCATTGCTGACTTACTTATGGCATTGGTATGAGGCAACTTGCTTTTCATGGTCAAGAAAGTTAATGAACTCTTTAAATAATTAAAAAAATAATGTTGTAATCTTTTTCCTTCATCTATGGTTTTTGTCCTTGAATACAATAAGATTTTTTCAAATAAGGTTTTAATGAAGTAGCACTTGTTAATCATATAAGATTACAAAAAATTATAAATCATAATTCTATGCAAATTTTATATAATATAAATATTATGACAAGCAAAGAGGAGTGTTGAAAGTATTAAATATATCCAACGCTTTTCATAACATTCACTGTAGGTACAGTAAATATTGTAGCTATAGTTCTTAGAATGAAGTGGAGAAAAATTGCTTATCTTCTCCTCCTTCTCTTTATATATAAGTAATACAACCACATCAATATATAGTTTTTTTAGAAGCTCTTTCTCCTTCTATATATTCTTTTTTATAAGTATATATATGTATTTTGTATATGTGTACACATTACTTCTAGCTATTTTTGTATCTCTTTCTAAAACATTCTTAACAGTTTAAAGTGCTTTTTGTTTATTTGGGATAATCGGTATTAATCTGCTCAAAGAGGAAAAAAATATTTTGTTGAATAGAGTTGACTAGATAGTTGAAAAATGACAAGAATTGTGGAATTAG